AAGATATTCTTAGGCATACTATTGCGGTATCAATCACAGACACTGCAACCGCTATCACTTTCCTGCTCATCAAAAACTGTCTCCCGATGGATTAACATACTCACGTGTAACATACAATTAGAATATACAAAAGGGGATTTGCATACAAAGCTTTTACTTCGCCTAATAGTATAGGTCCCTCACTGACGGTACTCTTTACTGTGTGCCGAAATAAAATGGATCCACTATTAAGGTTAATCAATGTTAACGTCTCTTCAATAAATAAAACGTATGCGATGCTTTGAAAGACTTAAAAAATCTTCAGGGACACAAAATGATGGACTGGTTCTGAATTTTACGTAATAGGTTTTTAATTAAGTAAATGGTAAGCCTCGGGTTTGTTTTAGGTTAGTACATAGTTGAAAAGTAGATAAATCACCACAAGAGTAGTAGAAAAGTAGATAAATCACCACATGAGTAGTAGAAAAGTAGATAAATCACCACATGAGTAGTAGAAAAGTAGAAAAATCACCACATGAGTAGTAGAAAAGTAGATAAATTACCACATGAGTTGTAGAAAAGTAGATAAATCACCACATGAGTAGTAGAAAAATGGATAAATCACCACATGAGTAGTAGAAAAGTAGATAAATCACCACATGAGTAGTAGAAAAATGGATAAATCACCACACGAGTAGTAGAAAAGTAGATAAATCACCACATGAGTAGTAGAAAAATGGATAAATCACCACATGAGTAGTAGAAAAGTAGATAAATCACCACATGAGTATTAGAAAAGTAGATAAATCACCACATGAGTTGTAGAAAAGTAGATAAATCACCACATGAGTATTAGAAAAGTAGATAAATCACCACATGAGTTGTAGAAAAGTAGATAAATCACCACATGAGTATTAGAAAAGTAGATAAATCACCACATTGTAAGCTTCTTGAATCAAGTGGCAACTGAGTGACAATCATAATGGGCTAAAATGTATTACAGAAGTATCCAAATAGAGTTTATCTGATCGTAATACTCATAGACTCCCACTTAACAACTTTAACCAGTCATTCTGATTTAATAAACAATTTATTTGCAAATGACATCGATCACGTTGCTCCGGCGTTGAATCGCATTGTAAGGTTTCGTTTCAAGAAAATATGATGATATTCAGTCTTTATCTTAAGTGTTAGGCTGTGGGAGGTGCCAGAAAATAAAATTATTTGCAATTTATTTTGAATATTCAGCTATAGATATGACTAATTTTGTAGAGTTCTCGTTTACTCCACTGGATTAATTCTTCCTGTTAATTATTGGATTTACCGACGGATATGGTTTGTTGGAATCGTATGTTTTTGTGTTCCCAAAATGTTGCCCATTGTTCCGTATGATTGTCAGTGTAGCGTCAAGCATTGTAGAACAAGAAATCAAAACCAAATCCTGGAAGTCAGAAAATGCCCCAAACCAATTTCGAAAGACGATTAAAGGTATGAAGATGACGAGTATAATCTATTGAGATTGTTTATAGGGTGTCCGGAAAGTAAAGATACAAATACTCTTATTTTAAGAAATTTGAGTTTTTTGAAATAAAATTGCTACAGATTGTAGAGAAACAATATTACAATATATCTACCAACTTTCATCACATATAGTCTAAATGTGTTTAAGTTACGGTTGTTATGGTTACGGATACGAGGGGTATGCGGAGCAGTTCCAGAACAACGCTAAAAAGTGAAAAATTGCTGAAAGACAACCATTTGAAACAGTGTTTTTTGTTGTATTTTCTATCAATGTTTTGTTTAGTTCATCATTGTATTATTGCTGCCACAGTGTTTTCTTTTATATAATGATGCCATTGCTACATATCAGAACTATGTTATGTCACTAACCAGTATAATGAAAGAAATATTATACAAGTGCCTAGAAGAATGGTCCCTGGCCATTATAGTAGGAAAGTCAATATTGCATCTCCACAATGCACCAATTCACAAAGCAAAAAACAAATCTTACAATTGAGTGTCTTGACATTAAACCTTTCTATACAATGCCCCATATTCACCTGATAAAGCCTCTTTAGACTTCTACCTTTTTAATGACCATTTGAAAGCAATATTTGTAAGAAGTTCAACATACAAATGAGACTCAGCTGGAAGCCAATATTATCAGGAATCTAAGAGATGGACAGCAGCGGTTTTGCCAGGCCTTTGAATCGCCGGTCAAGATGCACCAAGAATGTATAGATAATGGGGAAAATACTGAATATTCAATGATAGTAGTAATATGAAACGATCAAATAATGTTAAAGTACTAATCCTTATGCTGTTGTGGTACATAATTTGATATAATATAGGAATAGATGGTGGAGTGCCAAGATCACATGAGAAGGAAAGAGATTTGTAGAACACAGTTGTGACGTTGCTCCACTTACCCTCGACTCTCGTTACCATAACAACCATAACTTTTTCATTTTGAAACTAAAAGTCATGACAGTTGTAGGATATATTCTTATAATGTCATTCTACGATCTGTAGCAATTTCATCTCATAACAGGTAAATCTCTTGAAATGAGAGCATTTGTATCTTTACTTTCCGGACACCCTGTAAGTATTAGTGTAATGTTACACATATATTTTCATAACCTCATTTGTTATTGATCAACACGGCATAAGAGCCCAAGTGAAGGCAATTACGTGTAAATCAATGTTTCAAGTAGATGCTACACCCAAAGGAGTGGAATTTTTGACGTTTGACGTACAGATCACGTAGACGTAATTAGCTATAGGATAGTAGAAATCCTACCCAACATTGTTCCTCAAGCTGAAATACTCTCTTCAATGTTCATCCTGTATGACGTGACCTGAGCTAATGGTTTATTCAGTAACAATTATCGTATCTCTCGGCTAATAACTAGAATTAAGATAATCGTAAAAATTCACGAAGATGCCAGCTCCGTCATGTAACTGTGCAAGTGACATTCAAACAAACACCAATATCCTACCAACTTTATTGATTTTTTCATTAAAAATACATTTGGTATTAACTGATATAGGCCAGAACAGTGATTTTTGACTCCTACATGCTCATCATTGAACCCAATCCCATTCTATCATGTAGGGCTAATTGAAACAACCAAATATTTGGAATTAAGGGAGTGGAGTATAATATGTACTATCGAGTGGGAACATTTATATTGCAATTTATCTATAATTAAGTGCCAATCAGAAAGGGATCCTAATTAAAACTATTGCAGTTGAAACTAAACTAATCTCTATTAGACTCTCCTGTTTTATGTATAATATGCAGATTTCGAGTTAAGTACAATTAGGCCATTCATGAATTAATCTTCTTGTTTTGCAGCCATTTTTCAGATTGGATTTGTATTGAGATTAACATCGTTTCGTTCTTTAGCTTTGCCGACACTTCATTAATGATATTTATTAAACGACTGAACTATCGTCAACTCAATTAATAAAATAATTCCTAACTGCCAAATTCCCAAACAGCGAACAGTTTCCTCTATATTACTGGGCCAATGATGTTAAAATCAAAGGAGGAAGAACATATGATTGATTACTGAATTTATTTGAACATAAAGATAAATGAAATTTTGGTCATACGTCGATACCTAATTACTATCGTTTAGTAGAGTTGTTTGATATTGCTTTTTATGAAAAACGCCGAAACGTTGGTCCCAACGCGTAACAGATCACGTGGAAAACAGTAAATCATCATTTAAGTGAGAATTGTTCTCTGAAAACTACTCCAAGCTTTAACCTAATAAAAACATTTATAATTTTCAACTCATTGAACAGAATTCTGATTGTTTCTGAATATTAACAAAAGATTTGAAGCCAGTCTGAAAATAAATGAATGAACGGGTGACAAATCAACATATACAAAATATATCAACTAATATTTTAAGCTTTATTGTAATTTCCCAGGGGGTGTGTCCAACAGCCTCAACACTAATATAACGATCCCCTTAAGTTGTTTCCCCGCTCATGGGGCTTAACTAGTACTTGACGAGTGTATAAAATACTATTTGCCCAAAGCTAGATTTTCGTTAGTGAGACAAATACTTTTAAACCCTCCGACCAGAAACACTCAGGATTATAGGTAGGCAGAGGTTGATAACTCGTGCACGCGTGACTCGTGACATTAAAATGCGTTGTACACCCAGTCTTGTCGCCAGCTTTTGCCAAGGGGATTCACTTTTTAAAAATGTCCAGGGAAGTGAAGTTCCATGATTTTGAAAGAATTTAAGTAACTAATTTCTTACCTTAACTTTTGTTTTTCTAATATGAAGTATATAACCATAACCAAGTTTTGGAACTTTATGAAAAAATAACGTACTCAAACGCGTGTTTTAGGGGGAAATTTGGTTATTTTTACAGAAGGGCCACGCCCACCTTTTAAAACGTTTGTCCCTCCAGAGGACATGGTAGGCTAAGAAAAGATCATTCCAAAATATGCTTTTTAGAATTTTGATTTCCATCGTTGCTCGATAGCATCTAAAAAAAATTATATTGAGAAAAAGTTAAATACTAAAAACAAATAAATATTGCAAAACCTCCGGGGAATATCCTAAAACTTTACTCGATCAAAGGTATCGGATTTTATCCCCCAAAGAGTATTGAAATCAAAACCAGTTGAATACCCTTAATGCCCAATTGATCCTATACAACACCCTTGACGATAGCAAGTAGTGGTTTCAAATATCAATTACAAGTGGCGTCACGGAAGAATTTGGGAACGGAATCTCTCCTAAAATTGTTACCTTTAAGGCACAAAACCTATAATTCATATTTGTCCAAATGTTCAAAGTGGTATTATCGGTATTTTAGGCTTATGTCCCATATTTAGGAACACTATTAAGTACCCATTTAAAAATATTTAGGGATATGTTTTTGAAGTAAAACGGTCATTATATAAGATTAAAAGATAGAAATCAATATTTACAAAGCTTCCAAAATTGCTCATTACACATGAGACGTAATCAAATCTTTTCTTGTATTTTCAGATATCGGCAACAGTGCAACACCTTTTCTGCGCATGGGTCGAGGTTTCGGCATGCTAAGGATGGGTAGAGGAGGGGGAACTCTACCCTTTTTTCGCATGAGTCGCGCCAATGGACTTCCATACTTTTATAGTGATACTCCAACCATTCGAGACATTCCACCTTTCCCTAGAATAGGGAGATACCTAAACGAAATAGAAGTGCTAGAGCACGCTCTAGCAGCCGACATTGACAATGAAACAAATGAATATGAAAGACAAGTTCCAGCACCAAGAGTAGGACGTAGCTTTAGAAAACGCCGATCGATTAGTGACGATGATACTAATGACACGAATCCGGAGTCAGAACGCAGCGTACCCTTTCCACGATTAGGTGAATTAGAAAAAGAAGAGAGAGCCGTTCCATTTCCGAGAATGGGGTACAGAGACGCCGTGCCGTTCCCAAGATTAGGGTACCGTGATGCTGTCCCTTTCCCTCGTCTAGGCATGAGGGATGCCGTCCCATTCCCAAGGCTGGGAGAACGTCAGTTACCCACACCACGTCTTGGTCGGGAACTGGAAAACATGTTATCAAATGAACGTGCAGTCCCCGTGCCACGCATTGGTCGTGACGAAGCAGGTAATGTGATACCTATCCCACGAGTAGGCCTAGCTGATAAAAGAGTTATGAGTTTGTTGCGCATGGGACGCAGTAATTCTGCAGATGAAGAAAAACGAGCAATGGGCATGTTGCGCATGGGAAGATCAGAGGGCACATCCGAGGAAGACGAAAAGCGAGCCATGGGAATGTTACGAATGGGCAAGCGTGGAATGGGTATGCTGAGAATGGGTCGATCTGATGGCACCAGTGAAGAAGATGAGAAGCGAGCCATGGGTATGCTACGCATGGGGAAACGTGGTATGGGTATGCTAAGAATGGGACGTTCAGACGGGAGTACTGAAAAAGATGAAAAAAGAGCCATGGGAATGCTAAGAATGGGAAAACGTGCCATGGGAATGCTTAGAATGGGACGATCCATGCCTGAACCTGAAGGAGAAGAAAAGCGTGCAATGGGTATGTTACGAATGGGACGTTCTCATGGAACTTCCGATGGAGAAGAAAAACGAGCAATGGGTATGTTAAGAATGGGCAAGCGAGCAATGGGAATGCTGCGTATGGGACGATCTATGCCAGAACTCGAAGAGGAAGAAAAGCGAGCCATGGGTATGCTCAGAATGGGAAAACGTGGAATGGGAATGTTAAGAATGGGTCGTTCTGACGGTACCTCCGACGAAGATCAAAAACGAGCGATGGGTATGCTTCGAATGGGTAAGAGAGGAATGGGAATGCTACGAATGGGAAGGTCAGATGGGACTTCCGACGAGGATGAAAAAAGAGCCATGGGCATGTTAAGGATGGGGAAACGGGCTATGGGAATGCTTCGAATGGGCCGATCCGATGGTACAAGTGATGTCGACGAAAAACGTGCAATGGGAATGCTTCGAATGGGCAGATCAATGGCAGAGGAAAAGCGTGCAATGGGAATGCTACGAATGGGGCGTAGTATGGACAATGCCAATGAGATTAGCGATGATAATGAAGAACTAGCCAACGTTGTTAATGCAGCAGTAAAAGAGCTCAGAAAACGGACTCTAGATGAAACAGATCAAGAAATTAACAAAAAAGCAATGGGTATGTTGAGAATGGGTAGAAGTGCGCATGCGTCTGAAGCTGAATCAAACGAAACAATAGATGAAGAAACAAAATCAGCGACATCTAACGAGTAATCCTATTCTATTGAATCAATGTACATTGCTTCTGTTTTCAATACATTTGCTGTCAAAATAGCCTAATTATAGAATCTGGATTCTTATGAGTAAATTACACATAAACTGGATTTGAGGAACGTTAGATCATGGAGCCATGGACGTTTGTTTGTATGTGTTATTCGTCCACGTTGAAACTAAAACAATGTTCATTGGTTCTACTTTATGAAATGCAGATCCCTGCAAGCAGAAATAAATATATGATGGTTTTATAAATGCAAATTAAAAAAATAACCCAGGCATAACCTGTTGAAAATGAGCAACATCTGTTGGATTCTTAAGTTGTATCCTTACGTTAAATAACGTAAAAGGCAGGGTAAAACCACGAGTATCTTGTTCATACAAACTGTTTGAGATATTTTTATCTGTTAATGAAACAAACAGTATATGTCATCTAAGGCCCTTATAGATATGAAATGCCCGGTAAGCAAGTTAGTGTTGATTGCCTGTCGGACCCAATATCTTCTTGGTCGAGTCTTGCCTCCTCGGGATGTTTCTGTCAGTTTGGCGTATGCTCATTTAGAGTGAAGCAAGTGTAAATTGGTCCTTTTCTCGAAAAATCTCTTAGCAGACGATTAACAGATAGGGAATTACATAAACTAATAGAACAGTAGAGCTAGGTGTTATATTAACCATACGAAGACAGATATGTTGAGGTGGAAAGAGACAATATGCTCATCATTTGCACGTTAGGACGGGGAGATTTATGTCCCCTCGTTGCCCTCGTTACACCGTGCGTTATGCCCCCATGTCACCAAGATCGATCTGACTATAGAAAAAGTTTTGCGCATGGCACAGTTTAGGGCTTAAATTGATATTTTCTTTTGGATATCTAAATTCATGATGTGATTCGAAAAAAATATATGTATTATATCGTTTATTGACTCATTCATAATAATTTTATATGAATGACATCATCAGTCGTCCGAGTATCCGGCCGAGTGTACAAAAACTCAAACTACAAACTATGATTATGAGAACAATTAAAAAGACAAAAGACAAATATACAGAAAGGTACCCTACGTCACTATCTGCGCAAATAGCACAGGCGAAATACAGTATTCAATTCATATTTGTTAACGAAATTTTAAATTATTTTCACACGTTATCTAAACAAAGTATGATATTTGAGAAAAGTTAAAAATTTCAAGACAACCCGTCTCTGGAAATACACTTATTTTTCATTCCAAAATTTGCATAATTTGTCACGCCAAGGGATGTATCACTAGCGTACTAATAGTCATCAATGTTTGAAGTAAATTATTCTAAATGCCTACATTTCCGCACGGGGCAAATGTTAAACGAAGATAATGGTTGCTTCTAGTCCGAGTTTTCGTACAAATTCATGTAAATCGGAACCATTGTGCAGGAGGTTAAGGAAAATATGTCCAAACACCCTATGCTATTTATTGTATTTAAGTAAAAGCAAATAAAACGATGGTTTTCTAATTGGACTGTATTTACGTTGATGTCGAAACTAAAATGGTACGTGGGAATTATCAGAACAAAAGGAAATAATGTTATTAACTTGATTATATCATATTTACGATTGCTTGGGTCACTTGCTCATTAACGCTATTTGTTAATGCTTTATAGTGATTGATTAAGGCTTAAGTAAGCATGTATACTACTTAATCAGCAGTCAGTGGCGACAATTTGGAATATAAACATATTTTTCCCACATTATTGCAAATTTTCGTTTCGGGTTTCATTCTTTCAAAAAATATTCATCCTAGTGTGATATGCGTTTCATAGCCACGGAACAAATTTACACTCCCCTCCATAAGGTTGGCAACCTTAGCTCCCCCATTGAACTACGTGTTAAAGCCGCTTTACGTTTGAATTTTCATTTACTCAACCTGCGATGAAATAACTTATAATATTGATGAAAACGTAACTTGACTTTATTTCCAATACCTCCACATTTTCCTAATTTTTTCCTCAATTACAATAGGTCGAAAATTGATGATAAATTTGATGAATTTTTGAAAATCGTCATTCCCATGTGAACCAATGGGAAATGATGGGTTCGGGGCAAATCAGAAATCAGAATATCTATTCAGTAAAAGATTCAGCAAAAAATTCTTATATAGAAAATTGAATTGTCTAACTTTGTACACTAAGTGTTTAGTTTACTTGATGAATACTAAAGTTACAGAGCTTCAAAGGCATTTTTGAAAATCATTTTTCGCCTCCTGTGTTATTTCAAAGGGAGGTTTTTTTGAAAAAGAATTTTGACTTTAAAGTCCTATAACTTTGTTGAACCAGAAGAAACGTATCAATTTTTTGTTAAATAAAGTTAGCAAATTCAATTGCCTACCTGATTAGTATTTTTTGCAAGGACTCGGATGGATGGATATTCTGTCATATGACTAGCGGCAAACCTACCATTTTCCATTGGTTGGGAATGTCGATTTTCAAAAATTCATCAACTTTATCATCAATTTTCGACTTATTGTAATTGAGGGTCTGGATGGTACGGAATTCCAAAATCCACCCATCAACCATTCTGATACTTTTTCAAAAAGTATGTCAGATGTGCTCTAATTTAAAAAAGTAACCTTTCTTCGATTGCGCATATATTTGGGGCAATCCAGTTTAAATCCAAAATGGCAAGATTGCAACATGGTAATCAATGACGCCAGTCAAGAAATCAGCAATTTGTAAACAAAGTGGTCGTTGCTAGTCACGTTTGGAAATGACATAAATGCCATTCCGAGAGACATTTTATGGTGCTACTTATGCCGTGGTCACATTTCTTCCGATCTCAACGGCGCCCGGCCGATGAGTATTTTGTTCAAAATTGAATGGGTTTTGAACAAACCTATTCAACGGGGCGCCAGTACTGAAAATAGCAGCAAATGTGACCAGTACATTAATCTTATATAAAAAAATATCATATTGGCCAAGGGATAATCCCAATATCCTGAACCGACTATAGGATAATATATTTATCCCATACCAATCTTGGTCATCTGGTTAAAATTGTTCAATCGTGGAAATATTTTAGAATATTCATGTCCAGTTTTGTTTTCTTGGCCGTGGACGGATTTTCCTGTTCTCTCAAATATTCCCACATTTATTTTCTCAAATTTCTGATTGATTAAGTGGATGCTCCTTCTCTTTTTTAAACCATCAAACAGATCCTGATTGTCTGTGTTTTCTCCATTGTCGTTTACATTCATTACGCGAACATTACAAATTATGAACAAATATGCGAGCGGCCATTATGACGTAGCGGGCAGATATACTATATCTGCCCGCTCGGAGCGGGACGTAAAGCTATATCTGCCCGCTGATGAAAATGTTAGTTTTTACAAACCGGCTTTATGTACCTGTAACACGTCCAAGTATGGGATAAATAGAGGTTATCCTATATGAGGTTCAGGATATTGGGATTATCCCGAGGCCAATATAATATATCTGCCCGAGGGCCGTAGGTCCCGAGGGTAGATATATTATATTGGCCAAGGGATAATCCCAATATCCTGAACCGACTATAGGATGATCTGTTTATCCCATACCAATCACATTGTTCAATTTGCCAAAGTTCAGAAACTTTGCAACCAACCGTGTCCAGTTTTGTATTCCCGTTTCTTTCCTATTCAAATCTTTGATTATTAACGCCGGTACACTGCTCCTTCCCTTCTTTAAAGCATCAAACAGGTCGAGATTGTCTGCGTTTTTCTCCATTCACAGGTAGGGATCAGATCGCACCTTCGCGTCCATACCGCTGTTTTCCGTACAGGTTGCCGCTCCTTCGAGTAGATAATCGACAGAATTTACGAATACAAAGGCTCTATCTTTTAATTCAGTCAACCTAGCCCTTTCTTCATAGTATATTCAGTTAGAGGAATGTTTTTCATATCATCTACATTTTTAAGGATACTTACATATGTCTAGGTTGCTCGTAGGACAGCACACAAATTACCCCCTGACATCCACCATTTCAGTTAAGTACGTTTTTCTTGGATTTGGGGTCATTTTTGTTCCTTCACACCTCGTCCAACGTAAAATTTGATTGATTTTACTGTTTAAATGGCTAAATGTATAAGAATATATACCTGTTATACCAGCATTGTTTCGACTTTACAGTTTCTGTCAAATTCCGCCGTTTTCGTTTTTGGATTACGCACCTTAATCGTATTTTGGTTTCAGTTAGGTAGAACTCTCCTTTTATTCAGATTAATGTTAAATTGGCAAAGTTCAGATCACAGAGAACTATTTACACGTGATTTGTGTCGTTTTTAGAGTTCTTTCAAAAACGATACAAACGATACAAATCATAGTCTATGTAAATATATTAGAATTTTTCAAATCGCAGCCCATCGATTTTTAAAGAATTGCAATAAAATACAGCAGAACTTCTCACCTTTATGTCGTAAACATTTAAACAAAGAGGCCACGAAAATCAAAACCTCTGCTGTCCTGGTTGGTTAAAGTGCAAAAACGTCGTCACATTTATGTTAATGAGCCAAATTACCGGGGCCTCACGCACTAGTATGATCACGAACGTGGGCAAAAACGTTGACCAATATGTGACCTCATTTTTCTTAATAAGAGCCACAGTTACTCGGAGCCTGATTGCAGTTTGCACACTTCGTTTAACATATGCCAGCAGATGAACTGGAATCAATATTCAATGTACGTACAGTACACCTACTAATAAGGTGTGGAACTGTTACAAAGAAACAGTGGAGCTTCGTGTCAAATTGTGTTGATCGTCAAATGGGATGGAATATTATATGAACGAACAAAAGGATATTATCTTTAACATTCATGGCACAATTCCAATTATATGTGGTAGCTGGGGGAACTAATACAAACACGAGTATTACCAAAACAACTGGCCACGAGAGATTTTCGAATGATAATTCCCGACTGTGCGCCCGTTTATGAAGAAACTTGAGGTAAGCTCGCGTGGGACATGGGTGAAAATGGTAGATAAATATGTGATTCAACTTATTAGACCATAAACAGATGGGATAATTATTGTCAATTACGATTTAGATGCAGTTCTATGACCTACCTGTCCGTGATTTCTACTCGAAGGGGCGGTATTTCTACTCGAAGGCGCGGTAACCTCTACGGAAAACGGCGGTATGAACGGGAAGGGGCGAATTTGATCCCTACCTGTGCCATTGTCGTTTCCAGTATGCGAACGTTACAAAAAAGAACCAATACGGGAACAGCGATTATGACGTAGCGGGCAGATATAGTATATCTGCCCGCTCGGAGCGGGACGTAAAGCTATGTATTCCATACCTACTAAGGTTCTAGGTAAATAACGAGCGGGAATATATACTGTATCTAGGGATCTATCACCGATGAGCGGGGCGGGATGGATACAGCCTGTATCCATCCCGGTCCCGCTCCTGAAAATTTTTAAATTTTTTTTTTCAACATTTTTTTCAAATTTTCTTTTTCAAATTATTTTTCACATTTTTTTCAAATTTTTGGGGAAATCTTGCAATCATTAAGAACAAGAAAACGTGTACCGTATGTTTTTGGAACTTTATAATAAGGTATGATGTACCTAAAACCTCAGTAGGTGTGAAATACATCTGTTATGTACGGTCGGTTTTGAATACAGGATTTATCCCGCGGGAAATATGTGTATCTCCCTCGGTCCCTGCGGTCCCTCGGGAGATACACATATTTCCCTTGGGATAAACCCTGTATCCAAAACCTCCCAGTACATAACCCTTATATCTGCCCGCTGATGAAAATATAAGTTTTTACAAACCGGCTTTATGTACCCGTAACACGTCCAAGTATGGGATAAACAGTTATACATCCTCTAGGAACCCAGGTTCGAAACGCTCAAACAAGGCCATACGTGACTTTTGAATTCTCAACACATTTTCAACAAAATATATAAAACTTCGGTATGAAGTGACCAATGAGTAGTAATTTACACGATGTATAATCTCCATAAAATCAATGAGGTTACTAAGATGAAAGTTGACATTTGGAAAGCGCTTCGTCTTGTTTCATTTAGTCCATAATAGACGTGCTTCGTCAGTCAGAACTTCATAACTAATTTCTGAATGTCAACCGACAAGGATCGAAAAATAAAGTGCAAATGAACGATGCTTTATTAAAGCAAAGTACTGGTTCCGCTTCATTTAGAATGGCTGATAGTTATTGCGTCGGTGGATATTTCTCACAAAATTAAGACCGTTCGTTACTTTACTGTGCACAAACAAAATCGTTCGGTATTGTACTGTACAATATATTTATTTACACTGTTATTAATTTGACAATGCAACACCTAACATTGATTAATTTATTCTAGGCGAATTGAAAGATATGTTCACAGTCATGTCAATAGGACATGCATCTACATCCAATCACATTTAGTTAACAGTAGACTTTCGTTCATCCTTCAATGTGGTATCTTCTTTTCTATAATATAACATAGGATACAACTAAGGGTTTCCACGCCAGAGAGGCAGTAATGTGGCTCAGCGAAAAGGTATCGTCAGATCTACAGCTTTTAAAGTTAAATAGATGTCACTGTTGATTGTTGCTCTGCTATGCATCGTTGCAATTTCCACATCCAATATCAATTCGGGAATTTAGGTCCTGGCAAAATGCGACCCCTTTCCATTGATTTATCAAGTGACAAAATTTCCACATTTTTCTTTAGAGGCCTGCTCAATCAGCGCCATAGTCCATAACAAGTGGCCATAATCCGTGGGGATATGATTTCTTTAACACGGCCATTCAGATTCATACTCCATTACATTTAAATATAATACAGGTTGGGTCGTTATTTTTTTACACTTTCAGTATTCACTATCATGAATTAAAGAACCTCAGCACTTTTGGTCTCAATAGTTTAATAAATGACTCGGGAAACATACTCATTGATGTATTGGCGTAGGCGAAGTACTTGTGAGGCTGGGCTATCACCTCCATCAAGGCAGCTAGAAGCGTCCTATCCTAGAATTTGATAATCACAAAATATTGTACAAAACACTAAAAAGACGAATTCGGCAATTTTGTCAAGACACTAAAATATAAATACGAAACTAAATATTTAGCCCACATTGAGAAGGGACCAGGGACGCCCCTAAATATATAAGAGACAGTTTTTATTTCCTCTGAAAGATACCTGCGATTCTGCTCGTCTCTCTTCATATGATGTGCATGTTGTCATAGAGTGGTTATAGCGCCGAGAATGACATTCTCAGGAGCACCTTATAGATAATGCTATTTTAATTACCTGTAAAATACTCCTGTGTTGATGAAGCGAATACAGTCTTCCATCACTCACAATATCTTCTATTAGCTCTTGATATTCTTCTGTAATGACAAGAGTTTGAATGACATAGATTTTACATAGCATCTTTCTGTTTCACCTGCTGAGAAGAAATGAGATGTCACGCGTTATCATGATGTAGATTTTACTTTAGCTAAGGTTTTGAAGGTCTTACGTTTACGTTGTATGGTACATTTTGCATTGAAGTTTACCATTGTGTGCCAATGTTGCGTTGTAAGTAACATAAGGTTTTGACTCTTACATTGTACTTGTATGCTAAATAAAGCATTGAGAATTACCGTTGTATTTAATATAAGGCATTGAGTCTTACCATTGTATGTTACATAAGATATTGAGTCTTACCATTGTATGTTACATAAAGTATTGAATATTACCATCGTATGTTACATAAGGTATTGAGTCTTACCTTCGTATGTTGCATAAGGTATTGAGTCTTACCATCGTATGTTGCATAAGGTATTGAGTCTTACCATCGAATGTTACATAATGTATTGAGCCTTACCATTGTATGTTGCATAAGGTATTGAGTCTTACCATCGCTTGTTACATAAGGTATTGAGTCTTACCATCGTATGTTACATAAGGCATTGAGTCTTAACATTGTATGTTGTATAAGGTATTGAATCTTACCATTCTATGTTACATAATATATTGAGTCTTACCATCGTATGTTACATAAGGCATTGAGTCTTAACATTGTATGTTGTATAAGGTATTGAATCTTACCATTCTATGTTACATAATATATTGAGTCTTACCATTCTATGTTTCATAATGTATTGAGTCTTACCATTGTATGTAACATAAGGTAATGAGTCTTACCATTGTATGTTATATAAGGTATTGAGTCTTACCATCGTATGTTACATAAGGTATTGAGTCTTACCATTGTATGTTACATAAGGTATTGAGAAACCACTTTCAGAACTGTGGGAATCTGTTTTAAATCTGATCCAAAGTTTTCTAGATCTTGCAGTAAAAGCTATAGGTGAATCTGTCGATACACACGTGTCCAACGTTGAAATAGAATAGTTTGATTCTGAAATAGATAAAAAAACTAATTGCACAAAGTTTCGTAGATACGTTAAATAGAAAGTAAGTCACATAACTTCGTTTCTAGTTTCCCCTTTAGAGGCATTCTAAAATGCCATATGTGGACAAATCGCTTGAAAACTTTGAAGTGATTCGAGGAACAACAAGAACAAGGAAAGTAACATGTACGAGCGAATATGGCAAAGGCTTTATGGTTCTGAAGGTTTCATCTGCCCCAAGAAAATGTTAAAGTTATGGGGACTTAACATTCATTCAAATGGCACCAATTGCCCATAATTTTACAAGTACGATAACAAAACTGTCCATATTTTCTTGGGTAACCTAGTTAATAAATACTGAAATGAGCACGGAATATAACTGTACTATATCAAGGAACTTACGAGATTTTCTCATGACTAACGAGTCTCCACATTTGCCCTCTGCTAGGTGAATCTCGGGAATAATAATGAGTATTCTTCTCCCCTTCTCTGGTGTGATACTCCAAGTGCACTCAATGTTTGACGGGTAATCTCCCGGGTAATTCGGGGTTTCTATATACCCCTGGTATAGACCAATATGTCCACCACATTTTCTGTCTGAAATAAGCATTGTAAATGGAGTATAAAAGGTTTCACATGTAGAAAATGTAGAAAGGGGATAGTTTCATTGATGTTTACTCAATGGTATATGCTTATTGCATATTTTTAGATGCCCATACCATTCAGAAATGGCAAAGTAATGCCATATACTATATAGTACCAGTAATGAAATTGAGAAAGCACAAAGGGCAATATTTGATCCAAAACAGTACACAAACTCTAAACCTCTACAAATCATATAAAACCTACCTTTGCACTCTGAACTGTTTCTTGCCCCGTCAGAGTCTGTTGTGGTTTTCCCAGGACATTGGACACAATAATTCTGGCCATACTCCGATTGGTACGTTGACTTTGGACATTTTAAACATTGTGGACGTTGATTTGAATGTTGATTTGAATAGAAGTACCCAGGCTTACATGTTTCTGCAAAAATGATATATGATGCAATATGACATAAATCTGATGTTATTTTAACGGCCCCGTTTTTAGTTTGAAAATATAATTTAATCTTTCAAATGTTACTTTCCATAACTTGAATAACTATGTGAAACATTCTTGACATTTTGAAAACATTGGTGAGTAATAATAATATAAGCCAAAGTGGTTTAAACTTTATATGGGGTCTTTAATGCAATTAATTTTACATTTTGAAACTATTTCAAAGATGGATCATATGAAGATAATTGTTCAACTGACGCTGATGCATGTATTATTCGAATATCTCCTTGTGCCTTAATAAGAAAGCAAATCAGGAAATACCTTTTACGTCACAGTCTTGAAATTTTAGAGATCCTTCAGATGCTGTTTGTATTCCAAATCCACATGGTATACATTGGGTTCTTCCAGCTTCTGGCTGGTATGTTCCCTTTGGACACAATGTGCATGGCTTGTAAGCATTATTGGAGAATGACCCTGGCTCACATCGTCCTGCAAAATGCACTATAACAGAGTAAATATATTTGCAAGTTAGGTCTACAAAAAGGTTTAGGTGTCTAGTGTATTAGGTAAAATCTTAATCGCTATTTTACAAACTTTGAAAGTAAAGGTCAGATATCAGCCAGTATTCAACATAAAATCCATGTTATTTGGGACATTCAAAAGTCAATTAAACTTTTTACAAGGATGGTATGTTATATAATTTCATTTGACCTATTTATTTTAGCTGTATGGTATTTGCAGGTTTGGCAATTATAGTTGAATATAACTGTAGCCCAAAAATCTTTTTTTAAAACACTTTTGTAGATCAATACCTCCACACTGGTCCAAAGAAGACGCTGCAGGGTATCCCCCAGGGCCGGCAGACTCAGGGCATTGCTTACAGGACATCTGTCCCTCTTTATCCTGATAGTAGCCACTGCTACAGGGTCTACAAACTGCATTCTTAGGGCGACTATCGTAGTATGAGCCAACGGCACATGCCACTGCAAAATAAACATGACAGGAAATATGAATATTTATGAATAAAAAAGTGGGTTAAATATGGAATATGGTTCCACGAAAAAGTCTTATCATGAACCCTTAAAAATAGCGGGAGTCAATCACATTGAATAAAGGTTGCATAATTCGATTGAAGCTGATGTACCTAACTCATCAAAATATGTCGGTTATTTATTTTAAATTAACACTATCGCAAAGGAAAAAACAAACGATGTGTAAAATGTTCATAGTGCTCTATCACATCAAACATAATGCGGTTGTATTGCAGTCTCATACTTTTCAAGCAGTATATTCCTTCAGTCATATATTTATACCTTGATGGATCAAGATGACATAGTCTAGGCTCGCCATCTTTTTCAAGCAAAGCCTGAAGAATTTTTGCAGAACGGAATGCAAGTGACGGGTGTATATTGATATATGATTCTCATCCCAGGGTACGTTAAAAGTTAAACATACTGTTCTTCCAGCTAATTATTTTATTCTCCCAAAGCATGTCTCCAACCTTTTGACTTATAAATGTCGAAAGAATTGTATTTCACTTATTGGTTACAATTAAGAGCATAATAATTTAACTTACCACATTTCTCTCGCACCAGGACCTTTCCCTTACTGCAAGATGCCTTGGTCCCTCCTGCCTTGAAGGAACGCTTTGTAACTTCGTAATCATTACCCTCAAACCTACAAGAGAGGCTAACATAACATTAACAATGTCTGTGCTATTTCAAACGCAACAAAACTATATATCACAGTCAAGTATATACTTCTATACCTAAACAAGCCCTAATTTATTTCATTTTACACAATTTTTTCTCAAATATTGAGTATACGCCTGAGCATTAAAAAGGCATTAATAAAAGCAAACAAATCGTTCTGTTTAATTCAATTTAACATATCATTACTACAATCTAGAAATGTTGAAGTGTATAGCCATTATATGAGAATGAACAAAGGAAAAAATCGAATTGTCTTTAATTGATTGTAATACTAATTTTGGAAAGAACCAGTAGAAAAAATAAGTAAACATGTTCGTGTACACACTCAATAGAGTAATCCAGGAAAACTCTAAAAATAATCAACCATCCATCCATCCAAACATCTACACAATAAGGTATACTATTGAAAATACAAAATGATTCTCAAATGAATACTGATGAGGAAGCATATGGAGTTCTATATTAATACAACATACGTAAAGCTAACATATGATTAATATGTCGATCTAACATAAAGTAGACATACCATAATTAAGTCTACATAATGAACTCTGAACAATGACTCATAAATGTCTAATCTTAAAAAACATTAAGATGATAATGAATCAATACACTCCTCTCGAAAGATTTGGCAACACTGACTCCTCAATTGCTTTGAATAGCCAAATTTAAAAGGCTTGTGTAATATGCTCCAATAGGAGTGTTTGAGTTGTCAAAATTTTGGAGGGGATGTAAGTTATCCTACTTACTTTACATAAAATTTATCTTTGTTGATGCTCTTTCTAAGAATTCGTATAGCTTTTTTCAACCTTCTTTCGACTTCTTCTTTCATACATTTTACATCACATTTTGCTGGAATAAAACTTGTCAAGTTAGAATTCGCCGTTTTGTATCAAAAACACTACACCAATGATTTACATACGTTATCAATGTCATATTACATTTTAACTAAGTTCGAATACAAATTGAATACGCGTGTAGTATAGAATATGAGATCAAGTGAAGATAACCCAATCATGTTTGGTCGTCTGCTACGTGTCCAAAGGATTATGGGTAATTAGCTATACAAAATCGCGGATAAACCGGGATTTTGTACACATTCTTACATGTTGGACTTTGTGGACTCATCTCGATCTCAAACTCTGCAGTAATGAGTGCCTTAGAATCATTCGTAAGTTGTCTGAACTTTCTTCTTCTTGATCCACATTGTAGGTTGACAAAATTCACTTGACATAGGTTAGAACATTGAAACTTGCGATGACCTACAAATTGAATTCCAAATATAATCAAATAAGCAACATACCATCCTGCTTAAATAAGATTTAGTCCAATCGAAAAACGTACTCTCCGAAATAAATTTTATTGTTTTAGGTTTTCTAAACAAACATAACTTAACAAAAGCATTGTAAGAGATTGGAACCCTTTATGCTCGATACAGAAACGTGCCAAGCAAAAGTACCCATTTAACATACATAATAAAATATACATTACGTGAAAGTGACTTTTGTAAATTCTCTTGGAATTTTTCTCGGACTCTTCTTCTCAGTCTGCATTTCTCTGCCATGAACAAAAACTTTGCCTTTCGTTTAAAACTTGGTGGAAGCACTGAATCTGAAATCAACATAACATAAATTGTAAGGCTAGTCCCATAGCCCCGAACTCCTGGACCAAAAACTGGATACCATGGTTAACGATAATTATACTCGCTTTTTGCTTGATTTTCTCAAAACTAGGATACATTCTTTAAAATATCAAAACAGATTATTATGTATACCTGAACACGTAGGTAAAGTTGCATTATTTGTCCATTTATATAATGTACTACTGCCACATTTAAATGTGTATTTATCCACCGGCTCTCTTGTGAACTCAGCTCCACCTTCACATGTAAGAGTACAGAGCTCATCAGTACTTGTGTGGGAGCATGATAGTATTGCCTTAGCAGGTGCCATCAATGGTTGACATTTCTCAGCTATAATAAACATAATGTAGAGATATTCATCACATAACTAAGATATCATTTTTGATTTAGATGTCAATAATATATCTAGGACTGACCTCAGTGATTTTTCGATAGCTGAATTCAAGACTGTGCCCCTATCTATTTCAAAAACACAATCCTGTTATAAAAGTAGATACGAGGAGGGGAGGGGGTCCAGGGTCCAAAAGCAAGACTAAATTGTGTTGGCTTAAAGTGAAACGTTAGATATAGAGGGTGGTGACTGGTGGTTATTACAAGAACAATAATAGATGATACCTACAGACACAGTCTTTATTGTTGATGTGGAGCTTATATCCCTTTTCACATAGACACTCATGGCTGCCTTTTTTGTTCCTGCAGATCTGCTGACAGCCTCCATTGTTGATACTGCATTCATTTATATCTATAAATATTACATAATATATCATCAAACATTGCATCATTGTAGCTAAGCGGTAGAGCACTCACCCACCACCCGGAAAAAGAGGGGTCGTGGGTTCGATTCCTCTGGGGTGAACTGAGTTTTCCACATCAGCCTTTAGCGGAAGATTTCTTTCTGTGTTTTCATTCATTTTTAATGTACAAATAAACCATATTGGCTAAAGATGAGTCTGCTAAATAATTTTAGAATGAAAATGAAATTTAAAACGTCCAGAAAACGTTTCATTTGTATGTGTATTTAATAATTGCTTTAAATAATTATTAAATGCTGTCATTTTAGGAATTCAGCGCACTTCATTTGACAGTATGAAATATAAGGACATAGGATAAGATCATGGTTCAAAAACTAATCTTAAGAATGTTTAAAAGCTAAAATAAGTTTTCTAAATCAAACTTACGAAAAACATTATATTAACAAATGTTTTGACGTTTTTCGACCACCTTGTTCGTATTTCTACGGACGATTTGAAAAGTGAAATTGACAATTGACCTGTTTATGTAAGAGCGAACAAACGTTATCTTTGACACATCTCCAGATAATCTCCCCGTGTAATCAGTCAGTTAGTACTACTCACCTCCACAGTGTGTTATTGCATATTTGGCGTAACCTGCATGGCACTTGCACTGGAAGCTCCCCGGTGTGTTTATGCAAGTATGATCGCACGTACCATTCCTCGTACACTCGTCGACGTCTGCAAGAACAGTTATGCACGTGTCATTTCATTTTTTCGAACTTTGCTGAATTTCATTTAATCCAGTTTTTTTTATAAATAAACCGTTGTATTATACGATATAAAAAGTGTCGGTAATTGGCGTATGGATCGTCCATTTTGCGTATTAAATATTCATTTTGACAAACAGATTAATTGAATTGAATTTCAAAAAGATCAGGCAATCCAAAATACACCTGCACCATCTCAAATTAGTACCTCAGCATATGTGAAGAATAGTGCTTCAACAAATGGACATTATATAGTGCCAAAATAATACAGTCTTACCTTTGCAAGTTCTCTCGTCTGCCTGAGTTTTGAAGCCAACTGGACAAACGCACTCAAAGCTTCCAATGTTGTTCAGGCACGTATGGCTACACCCGCCGTTTCCAACGTCACATTCGTCAACATCTGCAGAAAGTTTTTCAATTAATTCATTTGTTTCTCTTATCACCCGATATGGTATGTCAGCTTTGACTAACATGTAACATAAGAAAAAATGCAAGCCATTAACATGCAAAATGTCACAACTTGCCATTTGTTACAGACGCCGAAAGCCGAATACGAAAGCCTGAAGACGCATTAAAGCACAAACAGTTATAGAGCGAGCAAGAAAATGTTCCCAATACTCAACATCCAAATAGCGACACCTTAAGAAACCCAATAAAAGGGTTACTGTATCTGCGAATGATTAGAGCCGGAAAAACGAGATACCTTAACAACCAAAGAAGAATGCTGAATGTTGTAAACGAATAGCACAGTGACGCAGAAAACAAAACTAAAGTGATGAAAACCACAACAATTACCTGAATCTTACAAGGCGCATAATTGAATTCAAAATATTGTTTTTTTCAAGGCGGAAAGTGTTAAGTCTGTAAACAACAGGTTAAGTAAAAGAAAAATCAAAAATAATTTACCGGCCTATTACAGGAAGTTCCCATTGAGGCTACAGACATATGTTATAGCTACTGCAGAGATTTGATAACAGATGATCGACTTGCGTTTTACCATAATCAAAACAAAATTATTTTTCTCACCACATTTTGACAGCGCATTACCACAGGTACATGATCGTAATCAAAATTGGCAATATAACTTGAAATGCCTTATTGTAGAAAATATATAAGCGTATTCATAGTTTTAGTCTTAATATATATATATATATCTATTTTTTTAGTCTTAATATTTTGATAAGCGCTAATGATTCTGTTAAGACGAGTGCCAAAATAGGAAAAGTTAAAGAACATAGCGAAACACAATTAGAAATTGTACAATTCAAGCGTACAACTATAGTAAACACAATTAGAAATTGTACAATTGAAGCGTACAACCATTATAGTATAGTACTAAGGAAAACAAACCCACAAGTGATCTAAGCGATTATACAATGTCTTACACCCCTCTCATTCCCCACAATTAACAATCGCTTTTAAACTACTGGAGTAAGTTAAGTCAACTTTCACCGGGAAATATTTGAGGAAAAGAATTGAATAATACAGCATGTCAGAATTTATTTCAACACTCATTTAGTAAAAATATGAATCAATAACATTTATAAGGAGGGGCAAAGCGAAAATGAAAAGTCAATAAAAAACATGTCATCCTAAAAGTTATCCATAACAGCTTACAAAAATAAGAAAACATTAAAATCAGACTCCATTCAAAACTGTAAGTATAAATTAAAATCGTTGCATAAAGCATACAGAAACAAACAATTCAAAATCCTCCTAAATTCATTTATAGCAATAAAGGAAGCCATGATATTTCAAATGAAGCCTATAATTACAAAACATATGGTTACATCTCATGTGTGAGTACAATCTAAAATGAAAGTAAGTAGAACTTAGTGATCTTAAACACCGATGAAATTATCGAAATTACAAAAACTATATAAATACCTATACAGGTTTTTCTGTCCTGATGTAGTAGAAAACCTGGTGGACATATGCATCTAGGACCAGTAGGTGTATCTTCACACTTTCTGTCACATCCACCATTATCCACTTTGCATGTCGCTGAAAAGTAGTTCCGTCTCCTCGAATGAACATTTTTTACAAAATCCATAAGTGAGGACAAAACTAGCATTTTTGCCAGTTGAAGATGCATTTTGATCATCAATTTGTAGTATCTTAATCCAATATCATAGGTCCGTGTATGTTGATAGTTCCAGATATGCTTGAATCGTCTTGTTTGTTTTGACCATCAGACGACATCCAGGGGCGATTTCAAATGATATCTATATTCAGTCATGAGTCACTCAATCCTTAAGCTTATTTCTATAATTTACCCTGAGAATAATGATCAAGTTCAATTAAAAGTAAGCTGTAATCTTCCAAACTGTTAGTGAAGATTAAATACTTGACATTTGTACATTTGTATGGATTACTTGGATTTTTAAGCGTAAAGTCATCCGGTGCGGAATGATCTCAGGTCATATGACATGCGCGTGTCACCATAACCTTTACCGTAACTCACCAACTGTGAAAGAACCCAGACTAAATAGATCAAAACGGTTTCATCAATACTTTTCCTAGGTAGGCTAATACTAATTTTTCCTAGGGAACTTGGTTTCCTGAGAATTATTAATGGCAGCTTGAGAGAAAATGATACAGTGTAGCCCCAAAGAAAAACAAACTTGAGAATCAATGTATCATCATTCCGATCATGTGGCTTTAGAGGAACATGGAACTAGACCTGATTGATAGCCCAAATCTTAGCAGGGATTCACAACGCAATGGTTATATTCAAAATCAAGAACGAATCAGATTGTAGTGGTTATTTAGTTAACATTATAAACATACTTGAAAAGTTGTTTGTTTCAACAAGCAGACATACGGAAGAACTAAGCATACTGATGATCGTGTATCTGGTTATACTTAAACATCTATTAAATGCCTTCTTACCTAAGCATTTCTTTCTATCAGGAGTAAGCATATAGTTTGGGGCACAACCACATATGGGACCTCTCGGTCCGTCTGTACATTTATGTTGGCAGCCTCCGTTGCCAACGTTACAAGTCACTGGAAATCACAGAAATGAAGTAATTCTCATGTACGGGTTAACATACGTACACTTCCTCCAAAAAGTTTGGAAACCATGACTAGGGGCTGTATTTTACCCTGGTATTTTACAAATATGTTAAACATGATTGCAAACTCCTTTAATTTTAACAGACAAGACTAAGGTTGATGGTTACACATTGCCTGCTGTGTTCCATCTGTTCCTTATATACTTTTGAAATAAAACAATAAAAAGAAAATTAGACATTATATTTGAACCCTAAAATGTGTTGTAAATGTATTACAAACCCTTATAAATCATATAAAAACCAAGTTCGTTGAATGTACCATAAAGGGAACGTATTTAAAATACACAGTACCGATATGTAAGGAACCTTAGAGTAAATCCCCAACATCCTGGACAATAGAAACAGCACATAACTTACACTTGCAGTCTCGTTTATTGGATGCCAGTTGATAACCGTGCCTACACGCACAGTAAGAGCGTCCTCCATGGTGAATGCAATGGTGAGCACATCCTTTACTGTCCCTACACCAAGTGCTGGCTGGAATTTAACAAGAGTTCTGTTTAGGGTAACAAAAACGAGTATAGAGATCCTTTATATTTGATGTTACATCGTTTCCATGAAGTCAAATCGTTATATACACAAAGTCCAAAAGTTTGGCAACTCTACCTCAACATTAGTTAGCGTGTTGTAAAATGTTTATGCTTAATTTGATTTTTTCCTTGAATGCATTGTTCCATTCTGATACTCAGACCATCTCTGTGCACAAGGAAGGATACTGAGAGAAGGCTGTGATATCTCACGATGGCATTGGTCAGACATGTCTAATATTAACAGGCTTGAACTATTGCTCCAAGGTAAGAGGGCAGATGGTGTGGTCAAACGTTTGGAGATACGAATTTGCACACCATTGGTTATCGAGAGTCTTATTACTTGGTACATCTCGTTTGTTTCCCAGGACAAACGAAATTCAGCACGAGCTGAAGAATTGTAATTTTCATTGAAATAAAATATTTGATGAATTGGGTGTCACAAAATGACGACCAATAAAAGTATGTTATTGTTATGTTGTAATGGAAACAATAAACAACCTTACCTACACAGGTCTTGCCATCGCTCTGGAGGGAATATCCACTGTTGCATTTACATTCGTAACTACCCAGCGTGTTGAGACATTGGTGTTGACAGCCCCCTCTGTTGTGAAAACACTCGTTGTTGTCTTAAAGAGTACATAATTATGATATATAGTAAAAAAGAAAACTGACAGTAATTGAGTAATTTACTTAAACAGTGTGATATGCCAACTAGCTAATGTTTTTACGAGGAAGTTTCTTTTATATTTTTTCTGATATTATTGAAGTACAAGTCAATTATAATTTGTCAGTATCCAGGGCAGTCATTTGCTCTTGCAAATTATTTGCGAGGTGAATCATATATTTCCCCCTACTTCGCCATGTGTGAAAAAGATTTTAGCACAAGAAATGAATATATATATTATACAATTTTGCACTCGTTTATGCAAACGGTTCTCCTTACAACACATTGTACACAACTGCAAAATTATGCAAATCCAGAGCTATGTAAATAAAAACAAATTTTTCTTCCACTGTATCTACATAAACAATTATGCAAAACCCCAATGTGTGCTTACCTAAACAGTTATGCCCATCCTTGTGTAGCTTGAAGCCAGTTTTGCAGGCGCATGTGTAGTTGCCATGTGTGTTACTGCAGTAGTGAACACAACCACCATTCTCATAATCGCATTCATTGTCGTCTGCAAATAAGATATCCGAAGTGAATAAAGCTTATGTTTTTGTGGTCAAGAGGTGAAAAAATAGTCATGAATCATTGATAATATGAAACATCTCAAAAATAAAGCTCATGCTGAAACGAAAAGTATTTTTAATGGTAATTGTAGTTTCTTACCTACACATATTTTTCCGTTGCCATAGAAACCATCCTTACATTTGCATTTAAACGATCTCCTAGTGTCGTGACACTCCGCATCCTTGTGACAGTTGTGACGTCCTTCTTTGCATTCATTCATTGCTGAAATATTGAGGGAACGTTGTCCATATTATGTTTATCATTTCATTTATTTCTCTCTATATTAGTCTTGCCTCAAGACCCCCGGGTCTATCTATACGAGCTACACGGGAGTTTTCATTTTAAAACAATGAAAAACAAACAAACAAACAAACACACATGATAGAAACGAGAGAGATTCCTAAATTGATTTGTTATATCAAATGCTCTTAGTGCTGAAGCCATGGCAACAACGGAATACGTCAAATAACGTAGCATGTCATGTCAGATTCACTTTGGTATGTAAATTGAATAGTTGAAACTCATATTTACCATGTTTGTTGTTGATCATACTATAATCAAACTCGTTTATTTTTACTAAAATTATATGTTTATTTTACCCCATGTAGTTGTTACAAATTCATTAGGTTTTAGTTTCACTCTGTTTTGGGCAAAATCCCCAAATTAATCAAATAATGCAAGGGGAAATTTTGGATTTCATCTAAATTACCATTATTATAGGGGATTGGTATGTGGCGAGTCATGTTATTGAGAATTGAATTTATTAAATACTTTAATTTACCAGATTTGACACGTATAGACTCTGATTGCTTCATTTGAAATTCGAGGGCGATTCCATGTTTCGTGTTTGATATGACAGTCGTGAGCCAAAATGGTAAACTATATGTCCCAACTCAAACGATATGAATGGTGAATATATACAATACCTGTTTAAAAAACGTACATGCGTTCTGACGGTAATACAAACGTGTTGTAAAAGTTGAACTCTATAATCAGTTGTTTTGGCCTTACCCATGGATGTGATTTATGGGATATGAATGTCACTTTTAATCGAAAATCAATCGTTTGTTCGTCCCCATCATTTTTGTATCGAGACTTGACTGCATTGGCAGCTATTGATAATAAGGAATATTCGATAAAATAATTGTCTTTGTCATTGATCACAGTTCCATGAGAGTTATCAAGTGTTGTCATTTATCTATTATATCTTTAAAAACAAATGAGAACAAACAGAAGACAACAATACTCAATCGACATGTCAGTCAATTTTCCAAGTGCTGTGTACGTTTATAGTAAATTGATTATCGGGCAGATTCACCCGGTACTCTGCTTTCTAAAAATAGATGGAAAACAACCATATCTGTAAGATAGGCAGTGATTGGGTCTTAAAGGTGGTAAAAAATACGCTTGTCTTCACTGGCCTTACCCATGTTACTGCTGTTCATTGGGTAGGTTCGCCAACCATAAATGTTACGTAAAATAATTTCATATGAATTTTCCATTTTGATACTGATCATTTGATGCTGAATATTTTTTCCACAAGAATTGTGGTATTTTAAATTAACGCATTGTTGGATCCAAAGTCTCTACTATCCCTCTGGTTTTGAATACAAGAGAGACTCAGGTAAATCAGAATGAGATCTGCAAAGGATTATTTCTCAAAGAGCGCACACGGACGAGGTTCTCTTTCTGAGAGGAAATCAAACTCTTGCACAGGGTACAAGTATGCTGTTTGATATCTTAGTCAATTATCAGATTCCTGTTTTGGTGATTATTTCATTTTTATTGCATCTTTATTGGAAACATTAGGCGGCTACTTAACCTTGCGAGTTCACACATTATATACCCTTTGGATTCGTTTGACTTCACTTCTTAAAAGAGAGCTTCGTCTTCACTCTTTCAAACTAAAATAAACCTGTGAACTCACCGCGCCAATCAGTGTTCGTCGGCCAAATTTGACCGACGTTCTATATATGGCCATTCCTTCTGACGTCATCGTTGAGCCCGCAATTGACCAATGACAAGCGCATATTTAATTAGAACGCATTTGGCGTATTACCCTTTGCATTCGTTTGACTTCACTTCTTAAAAGAGAGCTTCGTCTTCACTCTTTCAAACTAAAATAAACCTGTGAACTCACCGCGCCAATCAGTGTTCGTCGGCCAAATTTGACCGACGTTCTATATATGGTCATTCCTTCTGACGTCATCGTTGAGCCCGGAATTGACCAATGGCACGCGCATATTTAATTAGAACGCATTTGGCGTATGTTTCTTCAAGCTCGCTGATTGGTGGAAGAAAGGTCAGCGCGTAGGTCAAAAGTGATTTATTACCCAAACAGTCACCGGTACCCGTCGTGGGGCCGGGACTACTAAACTGTTATATGGTCTCTACTAGGCAGAGTGTAGTTTAACTAGACTCTGCACGCAGGGTATTGGCGTATGTTTCTTCAAGCTCGCAGATTGGTGGAAGAAAGGTCAGCGCGTAGGTCAAAGGTGATTTATTACTCAAACTGTCACCGGTACCCGTCGTGGGAGCGGGGCTACTAAACTGTAATATGGTCTCTACTAGGCAGAGTGTAGTTAAACTAGACTCTGCACGCAGGGTACACATTATACTGTGCGACTTTCAGTTATGTAGCCGGCTCGTTCTGTTCACGCAAATCCATCATCTTGATTCACAAAGTTTTAGTTGCTCCAACTTCAAGGTGTGATGACCACATTTGAAGTCAAAGATTAAAAAAGCCATTAAAGAAATAACTTGCAATAATTGACAAAGCAATATGGTACCCCGAGGCCCTAGTTTACAATGTGAAAGTTCACTTGTAAAGACAGCAAAATCAAACTAGTGGATAGGGTAGTCTTGAAGTAAGTCTACTCTGAAGCTCTGTCAAGGAGAATTAAAGCCCTCTGAGCTGTCAAATGAAACGAAGTTCCCTACATGTTTCTCCAAGTGTTGTCCAAAGTCCAGAAAGATGTCTCAGCTTGGGGGTAACCCCATCGGAATAAAGCATGACATCTCATTTTTTCTCAGCCCTGAGATGTTTCAGGTGAAACAGAAAGATGCTATGAGTATCAGAATGGCGTAACCTCTCCATTCATTTTCCTGAAGAATTGTCCCGAGCCATCTCGATAGCCACGTCCCCTTTGTCTTTCCCAAATGGCTCTCCAGAATTGTCCTGGGTATATGCAATGGCTTTAAAAGCAGCTCCGAGAAATACAGAATTAGGGAATACAACACTCCACGATCTTACACCATGTGGTGAAAATATTAATGATTTGAAAGGTTAGAACTTATCTTACCAAAACAGATATCTAAGTTGAAGCGATTATTATTCCATTTTTTATTTTTTGAAGGTTCAAAGTGTAAAACAGATAGCAAGCTGTGAAGAATATTAATAGATCTGTCTAACTCCACAAGTACGGATCATAGAAAGATTTTGCTCGTTTAGAGTCCACTTGGAAATCTGATATTTCTAAATGGAGTGTCATTGACAACGAAATCTCAGTCATTGGTCATCAGCCTTATCAAAAGTACCCTTTATACTGTTTCTTATCATGATTTATGTATATGTCTTTGTTCAATGCAATGTCGTTGATATATTTGCTTGATTTGCCATGTATAATTTTGCATTTGCATTTTTGTATTTTTGGGTGTACATATGGTGTTATAAACGATTAATTCCGTATTGTTTGAAAGTTTGCCTTACCGATTTATCCCTGATCCAGTCTATCAATTTCTTCACCCTTTTTCGATCAGTTTTATATTCACGAAGAGAAATTCCATTTATTCAACCATAGAAGGCTTATGTGAGGGAAGGATATGCTGGATTTCCCTTCCTATCCCCATATCTCTTTACAAGAAAAGGTTTGTCTATATATTCAGTTTGATTTATAAACAAGCCTTAGGCTGGTAGTATTATGTAGCATAAGATAAAAGAACCAATAACACGTTGAGGATTGGCTACTGGCCCAGTCTAATCACAAACCTCAGGTCTTTCCTAGCCCATTGATTCTTCCCACTAATCTGCTCTTAGATTCACACTACGTCTATTTTCTATCGGTTAGAAACCAAGATCACGTTGTTCCGAGATGTTTTTACACAGATAAATATTAGTCTAAAACTCTGAGCAAATCTGGAAGCGTTTAAAAATGGATTAGGTTTAAAGGGAGAATCAGTAGAATAATCTTGGGTTCGAATAAATAGAGTTCAGATCGTTCCAACTATGTCTCTTCCTAGTGATGCGTGCTTTCTAAAAGTTTTTTTTACATCGTACGTTTTTATAAATATCATAATAGTTCAATATAATATTGCGAAGTCTTCATGACCATGTCTTTATGTGTATTTAAACACTACAACTGTCCATTCAAAAATTTATCATAAAATTATGATAATCGTTTACTCATCTTCTGGTGACTCGCCGACATCTATTGTATCAATTAATTTGTTTCACAAACGTTATGCATCAATGATACTTTATGAATCAAGAATACTTTATGAATGATCAAGATTACTTTATGGATCAAAAATACTAATGAATCAAGAATACTTTATGTATCAAGGATACTTAATGAATCAAGACTACTTTATGAATCAAGAATACTTTATGAATGATCAAGAATATTCTATGAATGGTCAAGAATACTTTATGGATCAAAAATACCTATCAAAAATACTTATCAATCAAGAATTAAATACTACATGTATCAAGAATAATTTATAAATCAAGAATTCTTTATGAAGTAAGAATACTTTATGAATTAAGAACACAAATGAATCAAGAATACTTTACGATATGAATCAAGAACATTTCATGAATCAAAAAATACTTTTACCCTTTGCATTCGTTTGACTTCACTTCTTATAAGAGAGCTTCGCCTAGTTTAACTAGATTCTGCACGCAGGGTAAAATACTTTATGAATCAAGAATACGTTATGAATCAAGAACACTTAATGAATCAAAAATACTTTATGAATCAAGAATACTTTATGAATCAAGAACATTTTATGAATCAAAAATACTGCATGAATCAAGAATACATTATGAATCAAGAACATTTTATGAATCAAAGATACTGCATGAATCAAGAATACATTATGAATCAAGAACACTTTATGAATCAAAAATACCAATGAATCAAGATTACTTCATGAATCAAGAATTCTTCATGAATCAAGAACACTAATGAATCAAGAATACTTTATGAATCAAAAATACTTTATGAATCAAGAATACTTCATGAATCAAGAATACTTCATGAATCAAGAACACTAATGAATCAAGAATACTTTATGAATCAAGTACACGCAATAACACTTCAATAATTCTTAAATATTCTCCATTTTTTATCTGACTGCAAACAGACTTTGACTGTTAAGCTATGAGTCAGTCATGCCTCAGCTCTCCAAGTCCTGCAATAATTCATAATAATTTCCCGATTTTCTCCCAGTGCAAGCAAATAAACTGACGTTTCTAAGATGATTCAAATATTGTGATCTAGACGTTATTACGAACAAAAATAAAAGTGAAGTAATATCGTGTATATTCAACTATCAGACATGCTTCAGCTGATAAGTTGGCAAACAGAACCACGCTATATTTGTCCGTAATTATCAGTTCTCATTGGCCTTTATTAATTAATTGAGATTAATGGAATGAGTCTGGAGGCTTCCAGACATAATACATGTATAGCATAGGACCTTGGATATCGACCCGATCAAGACCGTAGAACCATTAATACAGACAGACTGGCCTAATTGGAAGCAGACAAAATAGTCAACAGTCAAATAATAACCGAGATTCCATTAAAGTAGAAAATAAGAAAGTTATTGAATTGAGTCTTGGGAAGTGTTCTCTAGACCATAATTTATTTACAAAAACACAACATTTTCGACGGCAATTTTTGAAAGATATAATCGTTTCACGACTTTGACTTGTGTATTGGTTTTATCCCAACCCATCCTTTTTACCAATGGTTCAACCGATTCGGGATGTTCACCCTCGGCCATTGATGTGAAACTCTCGACATTGATGTACAACCCTGAAGAACGAACTACATATGGATGGGAAGTGCACCTATAAGTAAAGTAGTCTACAGATTTAGATAGGCTATAAAACTTGACGATGAGCTCGAGGTGTTGATTGAAACCTCCCAGTCCCAGTTACAAAATCTAAACTATCACTCCCCATATCGTATCAACTCACCCTCTCTAGATCGCATCCTCCTCGAATCGTTTGTGCTAGCTATACCAAACAGCCATATATAAACTAGCACCGCCGCTTGCTGGCACCTCATGGTGTTCGTCGATTCCTAACTTCAACCCTCATTCTACAGAACTCAGTCTGGGAGAATTTACGTTTTTAGAATAAAAGTCATAAGCCAGCATTTGAAGTGGAGTTGCATACCGTTTTACCAATTTACCTGTCGAATAGGTCTGTGGAATTGGGCTAATCCATCAATTTTCTTTCCACTACCTATCATTGCTATAATTTGTGAATTCACTTCAGAGTACGGTATATCCCCGCCTTGTCATATTTTATTCCTAAAACGTCGGGGAAATATCCGTGTCTGTTGCTTATATCCACAGATGGCGATCCGGACACATCCAAAGTTTGAGATGCAAAAAGTAAAAACGTTTCAAATTGATTGGGTCGAATGTAAAGCACCGCTGAGTTAAAAACAGTACGACTATGCGATTCCGATGATTAAAACCAAACTTTAACAGCTTGCTGCAACGTTTTCCTGGCGCAGTTCAGAATCTGAAGACGTAATACATCATTGTGGGTTGTTATCAAGATTCGGGATTCATGTGAGAAAAGAAATTGAATCGTCTCCAGTAGAAAATGCCGGGGCATTATTTCCCTTGAATTATCCTCCAAACTCAACCAATTAGATATATACGGTGCTTTACTGAGTAATTTCAGAGAAAATCCAGACTTTTGTACTATAAATACCCGTTCGACCAGACCAATTAAGATTACGTCATTATTTAATTAATTTCATGGAGAATTTCCAGGGGGTTTCGCAGAGTTCACGGCCGGGGATCAAGGTGACCCGGGTTTTGTAGACCACTGCATCAAAACAGAAACGCATCTTATCTAATAAAGCTCCAGTCTTGTCTTTTTATCTTTTATTTACCTCACAATGGGAAGTTTACTGTTTTTGGTGTTTCGTAGTAAATTTTCACTACTTCATCATGTGGAAAAGTAATCTAAGAATTGTGGTTTGTCCTGTGGTCGAGTCTATGCAATTTGCACCACATGGTGTATGTCGTAGTCGAGGCCATGTCCATGCACCATATTGTTAATGATGTGGCCATGCACACACGCACCGTATGATTTATGCTGTGGCCGAGATCTTGCACTTGCACCATATGGTTTATCTTGTAGTCGAGGCCATGCACATGCACCATATAGTTAATGATGTGGACATGCACTTGGTCCATATGATTTATTCTGTGGCCGAGTTTGGTCGAGACCAAGCAAATGCACCACAATGATGTGTTGTTGTCGAGGCCATGCACGAACAACATATGGTTTGTGGTCGAGGCCATGTCTAAAGATGCGCCAAATGACAATGTTGTTCTCGAGGCCATGCACATGTACCATAGCAGTCATTTTCCTATAGGGTAACAGCGGATTTCGTTGATGAACAAAGTTAGGCCTAGGTTGATGCAAATAACGCGTGGGTTAAAATCATGATACCTAGTACTTTCAGAGATCGACCAATGAGAGAAACACGATTCACGCCTCAGTCAATACTTTTCATCATTGTGCCAATGTAAATTCTTGTATTTCTGGAAAAACGTTATTTTTGACGTGACGCATGTTTCCTGTCAGTGATGCTTCACCCTTTATCAGAACAAATTGCTACAAATAGACTCAGATTTAGGAACATCTCACCTGTCATTATAATATCTACTATTATTATGCACCTCATTAAAATACTCAAATCTGATTGGTTCTTAGTTGCTTGTAATTTGGCAATACTCTGCTCTTTTCTGAAAAATACCGGATATTTTTTTAATATCTGACCCTTTCGAGAAAAAGGGTCGGATATATTTTTCAATGTTTTTGCAACATTCCCACTTCAGAGTTTTATTTCTTAATAACTGGAGTACTACTTAAAGCTTACATCTGAAACTGGCGGAAAAAAGAAGAAAAAATGCACTTAATCAATCACAATTACCCTTATCATTCAAAAGTTACATATAATTCTGCAAGAACGTCTCGAATAAATAAAAATTAAATTCCCGGGGCAAATATTTTCGTCCAGTGTAGCGAATAAACTGGCCGGAAGTCGTCTGAGTTTTGAAAGAAAAAATAAACAAATGTCAAAATAATGTCAACTAAACGACAGTTTAAGCCTGTAAATGAGGTAACTTTGATTGGGAGGTGCATAATAAAACAAATACTGGATGATCAGGAGCTGGATATGGCCAGAATACCTATCCTCGAAAAAAATACTACCCGGCTTCTGTTTTAGTAGACCGACTCTTTAAAATCAAGTATTTCTTGACAATTTAACACCATCTTTTATTTATCTACAGTAAATTAATGGTAGGAATATGATATTAATCAAGGGAGATGCATAATAAAATAAATACTGAATGACCATGAGGTGGATATGCCAGAATACCTATCCGAGGAAAAAAATACTAGGCGAGGTGAATAATAATACAAAGACTACACTTTTCAATAGGCTGTTTTCGCTTGTTTGATAGACTCGGCAATTTTATAGTCTGATATGTTCGACTGACAAGGAATAAAGACGATGTAAGGTATCTATAGATACAGCATGTTCTTACATTTGAATTCATTGTGTATTCGGGATACTTATTGACTACCTTAAAAGATGCTATAAGGTATTTATCGATGCATCATAATTTTACCTGAAAACCCCTTGTATAGGAACTTCCATTAAATGTGGTATTTATAGATGTATCATCACCTCATATTAAAAGTAATTACACATGGACTACCTTAAAGATGCTATTAGGTATTTACATATAGATGTATCATCAGTTCATATTAAAAATAATCGCACGTGGACTACCTTAAAGATGCTATTAGGTATTTATAGATGCAGCATCTTCATAATGCTAGCGTTATCATAGTTATCTTCAAACGGCACCATCTATTTCTTTCTAATTGCATAATAAGTTGTTGTTATTACTCTGTAATTCACGATCATTTTGACACAGGAGATGGGGGTATCATAAAGGAAACACTAAACCATAAGACATCATCCAAAGATGTACATTTTTAGGTGTGATTTAAATTAAGTAAACAATCAAGGTAAATAATGACCAAATAATCAAACACTAGACGTACGATTCAAGGAGGAAATTAAAATCGATACTCCATTTTATTGATTCATTAAAATTTCAAAAACAGTTTTGTTTTTAAGTTTTAGATGCATGGTATAAATGATTGACTCGATCGAGTCGATATAGGCACTAGTGTACAGTAGGAGAGGGGGCATAGGTTATGGGGTATTGATATATGATCTGCATGGGAATAAACAAGTCATTTTCACAGCTGACGCTGACAAACTTCATCACAAACCGATCAAACTTATTTTTGCAATTAGCAATTCTATTGAATTGACTGCTTTTCAGAAGAAATGGGTTGAACATAATTATTTCCAGTCGTTATTTGCGACCGAATAATCAAAGTAGCCCATTTGCGAAAATAGAATGTAGCTTAGCTTATAACTCATTGATATGAGGAAGCAGGAGTAAAACAATTGAGTTGATTGATAATTAATTTGATTGACAGGGTACAAGAAGCAATTATTTGACGGTAAAATGAGTTATGCATTTGGTGAAGCTAGATTTCACCTGAGTGATAGCTGAAGTAATAGAAGAAGGATCATTCATCCCGTTGGTGTGGCAAGGCTGAAACCCACCGATGGAGCTAAAGTAAAACCCATTGATGAAGCTAGAAGAATGCAACCCAAAAATTGAGCTAAGATTAAACCCAATGATGAAGCTAGGCTGAAACCCGTCGATGGAGCTAGGCTGAGAAACAAGAGTGTCAACGAGTTGCTAAAGTGTTTTGTGTCGGGGCAACATTGAACAATACAGAATTAATCGATGTTGATTTGGGCAGTTATTGCTACGAACCTGCTGCAGGATCTTCATGTAGTGTGATGGCAACTTTACAGAGTCCGCTTCCGCTCCTGTATGTCCCTGCGACTACACGGTTGAAACCTGCATAGAGGTTATAGTCGGTCTTCCCATATAGTGTCTCTTGCCCGTCCAGGGTAAATAAAAATTTAGAATCCACAAAATCCTTGGTGTCATTTTGCTGCCATTCAACTTTCTCGTCGCTTACATCTATTACTACTTTTGTACCCCTTTTGATGAAATCATCTACGACTTTTATGAGGAGTCCGCCATTAATAGTCGCATCAAAGTATCCTTCTAAGCTGTTGCCATAGAGACGCATCTGCTTATTAAAGATCTGCATTTCCGCCATGTTGCTTGTTGTTCCATTATCCCCTCCATGGCCATCCCCCGTTGGCGAATCGCTAATATCCAGTGTCCACATCCGGGGTCTGTCGCCATAGTTTAAATGGAACTTCGCGGATTTGAAAGGCCCAGAGAGATCGATACGCACGACTGCTTGAGAATCACAATTACGTGACCAGGAAATGGTCGGTGGAGCAATGAAGTCGATGTACTTACTATAGCCCTCAACAAGACCGGTTTGTAGGTCAATTATTACAGTCTCGCGGTTCAGGTTCCTTTTACCGAAACCATGAACGAAATTGAAAATAAGACCTGAAAATAAGACAAAAACAAATTTCTAAAATTATTAATTGAAAAGTTAAAACTGACGCATGTATGCATTAGTAATTGTACATGTAAACGTTTTCAATTTATTTTCTTCTCAGAAGTAGTCTGCATTTTTTCGGCCTACATAATAAGGATAAAATTAAAATGTTCAATGAATGTGTATTTTTGTTTTATAAAAATAAATTATAACAAGATTAATTTCATATATCACTTGACAAACAACACTTGAAATTATTTACACTCAAAAATGATAACCAGTTTCGTCCAATGCAACCCTCTTTAAAGATGTCAACGTGACAATGGAATAAGAAATTAATAAATATAAGGTTCTATATAAATTAGACTTTGGTATTCAGTATTAAGAGTGATATAGATTTTGTATGTGTACTTGAATCCGCCAATCTTGCGGTCAATCTACAATAAAATGTCGAACGTCGGGTTGACAAGTGAACCGCTTTCAAGTATCTACTTATATATAGTTACTATTTGTTTTATGTTAGTCAGAGTGACTGTTCACATGATCAACCATAATATGAAGTAAATACACTAAATCTAACTGATTGTTCTGAGTGTCCTTGTGTACATGTTGTTGAGGAACAAATGATATATATCTATATCGCTCGATTATAATACCAAATGGTTTATTATCACATTCAAACACATGCTGACGAAAAAGTTTTGATTTGGCAAATGTTGATTTTGGCTTCTGATTTAATACTAATAACAACTTGAATTATATGGTTGGGTTAGTTAAGCATGGTGTTAATGTATAATATATTATTAGGGATATATTATACGAAAGAAAATGCTATATTATAAAACATTATCCCCCAAAATATATCAATTTAAGGTTTTAGATAGGTAAGGCCTGATTTATCTAAGACATTTGATCTTATAAGAGCTTTTTCATCAACACTTCAGTAGTCAATGACTAATATTTTATAAATGCGGATTTATCAATTTCATCCAGAGGAGTGTCAATATTTGATCACAATTAAAAGATGACGAGAGGGAAGCATTTGTGTGTCGTTCCAGCTAAGACCCATAATGCTTTATAGCATGCATACATTTGACATGTAGAATTGGAATTATAAAGGAGTGTGTCTATTTTGTACTGACAATTTTGAGGTTTCACTTATCTCAACCGAGGTACTCCAGGATTCCAATCCCAATGAAACAGTATCTCTCTCCACTATCAATGTTTATTATTGCAACCCCAGGACAGTAGACTACTAGGCTAGCAAGAATTTTTATAAACAGCAGGAAGCTATCCTTTGATACACTGAAAACGAAAATCTCAAAAATGAACAACCGATTCATAAGTCAACAGTAACTGATCGGTGCAGTGGTATGAAATCTGTTGTCGATTTGGGATCTGTTAAGATAGTTAGCAATATGTGAGAGAGAATGTAAGAGCACTCACCTGTGAAAATTATTGTGAACATGTGGCAGAGTTCCATTTCAGAAGACGCTCGCGTTTCAGGGTACTTTATCCATCAGCTGGGGCTGTGTAATTCAAACGCGCTATTGCTTCACCTCTGTAACCCAGATCCTCGTACATAGTGTTTATTTTTAATCCCGGTGATCGGAATTTAATTGAATTCTCCAGACTATTTGGAACATAATAACATTTGTAGGTAGATGTAGATCTATGACACACTTTGCTGTTAAACCCAACTAGTACAAGTTGAAATGATATCCAACCTACCTATGGTACTTAATGGTACACAGATATTGAATGTGTACCTTAAACTACAGCCAATAGTATACGGATAAATCTACTCAATCTGTTCGTTAAACACACGTTTATTGATGTTTAATGAAAACACACTTACAGCAAGAGGGGCTTAATTAACAACCTGTAATTATATCAAAATATGCATAAGGGTAATCCGAAACTTACTCAATGATGAAATCCACATATTTTCTAAGCCCTATCTCGTCAGTTAAAGTGTTAATTTACTTAGATGTCAGAAAAGAAAATGAGATGTATTGTTTTGTAAAATTGCCAGCAAAAAATACTTAAACGCACAAAAAGTTGACGAGTTTCAGATACTTTATCTTAAATTTAAGTCTATTTTGGTTTTATCAGATCTATTCCATTCATTCTAGGATCAAAAATAAATGGTAAAAGTATTGTTTTTCTGCAAGTCCATGATAGAAGTATCAACGTTTAAATTGTCACGTGGCTTCTCAGATATACAATCATGTTGTTCGGTAAATAGCTGAGACAATTCTAATTGTGATAAAGCACCCGTTCGTGTTTTTGTTAAGGTAGGTTAAACATACCATTTAAAATATCAAATGAAAGGAATTGGCACCTGTGGAAATACAACTGAATTAGTGATTATTGATAGCAATGTGCTATCAATGACTATAACCAATAGAGAAATGAATAGGCTTGTTCAACCATTGTTTCTCAAGAAGTGGGAGTATTCAATAAGTGGACACCCCCTTTTAACGAACTTTCAAAACATTATCTGAAAAGATTTTATTTGCATTAAGCTTACACGAGAAAACATGGTTTAAAATAGTTTGGAAAAATAAATGCATTCAAGACATTTTGTTCAGTGTTTTACAAAATGGTTTCTAGTTTCATGGTTTCATATTTATATTATTGTAATTCTATTTCTATTCTCCAAAATGAAGTTTAGACTGAAATGAGCATGCGATAGGCAGAAGATCTTCCATCACAACGCCCAATCTCGTCGAGTTACTTATACTTTTCACATGAAGTATGAACGATAGATGTCATTACTACTCAATGTGACTTAACCAACGTTTACAGGGTGATCCAGAAGTAACGCCAAAGGCTCCAAAGGTGTTGCCAAGTATTCCGACTCTTGTCGAAGTATTCTTTACTTGACCAATATATTCTGGGTTTACTTATTTTATATAAAATACACTCGATACGTTGATATATTTAGCTTTCCCATTCAATTTCACGATTCTTCTTGAGAGTGTTTGAATTAAGTTAACGAAATCCGTGTAATATGCAAATCTCTTAAAATCTCACGAAAAGCGAGATTCAGTGAGATTTCAAAAGCAATATGGAAACTATACTAGCCAAGGGAAAGATCAATACCCGGTGATTTCAGCGGGAAATGGCGTTTCGTTCAGTGGATGAGCTGCGCGCGCACGCATAAATGTGATTATCCCACTAGAGGCAATCTGCGCGAGATTCCATTTTTTGGTTCGGTTTTTAGCGCATGCGCATCAAATCCAGCAATGTAATTGGTTCAAATTTTTATCACGCACGCGCAATCGATAACTAATAAGAACATTTAATTTGAGATAGATGTCACTTACGTTCATTATTTCACAGCAGTCCCTACCCATGATGCACCATATAGAGCGGGAATATTTTTGTTCAGTGTCAAAACAAAAAGTATACACCCAAAACAAATGTAATGACATAATATCAATAGCCCCGGATTTGTAGACGTGTGTTGTACAAACTTAAACCGATCCGATGGCAGAAAAGCACTTTGAATCATGGGAATGAAGTACTTCCTTTAATGAAAAAACGAACCAAGTAAAAAACGAATCTCGCGCAGATTGCCCCGACTCGATTATCCAATATATTTAGGGGAGGGCTATTTGATATAGTTTTTGGTCTCAGGCGCGACCCAGGGCTGTTGTCTTAAGGACATTTCGTTGAAAATGAGCCATACGGCTTATAATTGGTAAGAGTTTGCGATCTTATAATGTATAACTGTTACTCAGACACATATTTTGACACGATTCTGTTGGAAATAAGCTTTGAACCGAGAGATATTCACGATTGATATGCACATTTTTGATTGTGCCATTGCTTTTCCATTGCACAATCCATGTATTGATAGAAGTAACATTAATAATGCAGATTGTTTACCTTCAATACATGGCAGACACTACATATCGGTCTATTAAATACCAGTTTGTGCCTTAAATATTTATATTTCCATCCACGGCCTGGAGCCTGGGTGTGTTTGTCTCTTATGTGTATGCTTGTGCATGGACTTCTAATCACTAGCAGAATTTAACATGATGCAAACTCGACATTATAACTCATGCAGTAACATTTTGACTTCGCTGGAAAACAAAAGGAATTATTTTTCTTGCCAATCAATCATGAATCACAATCAAAATTTCAGAATGATCAATCAGGCAATGGTCCAAATCAAGTTATAACATTATATGATATTCAGCAAGAAGTTCGGTAGAAATACAGAATATTTAAACATCAAAGCTGAAAGTTAAAAGCTAATCTATCAATTTTCTGTCTGCAAAAGAGCGTTTACATTTGACACAATAACAGACTGAGGCTTTGAAATCTAGGATTCCCCAGGAAAATATGACGTCATACTAATTAGCATAAGGATTTCCCTATTGGTCTGGGTCGAGCCTTGTTCGAATACACAATCCATAAATACCTGCTAATTTCTAAGGAGATAGGAAGTGTATAACGTGTTTATCGATTTTGTTTAAAGATTTAATCAATTATCAAATTGTTTAAAGGGATCCAACACCTTACAAAACTTCTTAACGGAGAGGAATAAGGGAAAATGCTTGCCGGATTCTGAATCTGTGTATTTTTTAATGATTTTTCACCGTCTTAGAATTTCAATTTTTTTCCTTTGAAAAAATGAGATTTGCATTGTTTTCCAATTAGAAAAATGAGTAAACATGAATAGTTCGAAATCTAACGGTGAGATTTTGTTTTAAAAAATCATGGATATCAAGGCTAAATATAGCTATACAGTAAACATAAAAAAAGCAATGCTTGGACTCTTCATATTCACACAAAAAATTAATTAGTAAATGAGGTTTGATATTTGTGAGAATAAGTTGTACGAGGTGCAATGCTCTACAAACACCAGACTACAGGGTGGATTAGGATCAATGACACACATAAAAATTAATTTAAAAATATTTCATGATAATTATCTCAAACAAAAGCAGTTGGCGAAGGATACGTTTCATTACACTCAATAAATAGTTATCACTTTTGACTATATATACATATCTCATGGGAATATATTTCCATCTGCTCAAGATATTATATTTTAGCTTCGAAAATCACAATCGTTGGATAATACATTTGTCTCAGAATGATAGGCCACCCTGTAGCAATGTAGCTTTCACTTGAAGTGTTCCCTTGAGAATAATGAACTTACTTTCAAATTGGTCTTGCTTTTGTGGTGTATGTGGCTTTTTAGCAAATCTGCCACGCTCATTTCTTTCCAGAACCATCATCTTTTTCAAATGTATCACTATACGCGCATGTATAGACAGATGACATAGATATACATATAAATTATATATTGCACCTGTATTTACTTACATGGGAATATCTCCCTTTGGAAAAATGCAGATGCATGGACATATATTTTCATCTTATATATGACTTCAAGCTAACATATTATTTCATATTTATATTTTCATAGTTAGTTTAACATGAATAATAGATCCATGAGAACAATATTCTTTGTTTTTTTAATTGATGGGTTTACTGTGAATTCAATAAATTACAATTTGCAAGGGGTAAGTATACTGTATGAGCTGGCTAGTGGCTTTGTAGTTTATGTTAGGCCAGAGTAGTTAAATTAGTTGTTTCTCTTTCTTCTATTTTTCAAAATTGATACGGGAATGACGGTTTTTATATTACCTTTTTTGTCTATCTAAAATGCTGATGAGGGACTTTTTCTTTAAAATAACTGTAAAAACAAATAACTAATTCTGAAGGAAATAAACTGGGTTTATGTTGAATTTATATGTTGAATTTAGCCTACTTTACTGGTATATTTGATCATATATAAGTACCACGATATTGTCAATTATCCTGATCCATAAAAAGTTTAAAAAAAGTGTTTCACACGCCATGGATGCGCGCGAGGTACGGTGTTTTTTTCTCAGAAATGGCAGAAAAAAGGTGGAGGGGGATTGGGCCACACGCGGGCAAGAATGAGAAACAACTAATTTAATTACCCTAACCTTAGTTCATCCAGTAGTACGTTTTCATTGCAAAGTAGTGTTTTTATATGCAGCTTAATAGCATAAAATATGTTGAATGACGCATTTGGTGTGGATAAGTCGTGTGACACACAAACTGACCAAATACATGAGGGTATTAGCTACCTTTTACATAAACCAAAGGAGGACAGTGCTTTTATTTCAACTGGGAGCTTACCTCCACACGACTGATCATGTGACCATGGTGGTGGTCCCCTTTAAGTGGATAAAGTGGTCACACTTGCTTCAATTCATAGCGTAATCGACGGATAGAAACTGACCGAATTCCCGATATCCTACCCCGTATTGTTGTAGGCTATCAAGCACAGTGACCTACAGAGGGCGCTATCACAAACAAGTACTGCACGAACCGATAAATTCCCGGGTATTGTAACGCCCTTGTACTAGCTATAGTGTGCATAATCCCAACAATTGTAAGTGTCCATCATCGACTAACACCCCAGTCACATTTCCTACGGCGACCTTGCGGTCTATCATTTCTGCGGCCAGTAGCTTTTCTACGCTCGCCTCAGAATTTCTGCGCTCTCATACTTTTGCAGTCACATTTCCCACGGCAGCCGCACGGTGAATTTTAAATTTCTATTGATAAATAATAGTTTTTTTCATTTTATTTACATCAGGACAATTTATAAATGTTATTCAAAGTGCTAGGATGTGATATCAAATGAAAAGTGATCGTGAAACATTGACAAATAATGATTCAATCTTGTTGAGCCAGTTGATTTCTACGGGGACCTCAGAAATGAACAAATATTTTAACTCCGAGTTATAATTTCTACGCCTTCCCTGCGGCCTGTAAAAACCGATTTAATTAATCTGCGGTCGACTTGCGGCCGCCGTGCGACAAATGTGACTGGGATGTTATCTAGGTGGTGGGAATCCCCTGTACATAAATGTAAGGCAATCCAATTAGTGGGTAAAAGAGTAAGAAGGCATGTTTATTTTCTGGAAAAGTGCTACCTTTTGCCATTTGTGTTGGTTTTTAAAAAAGGTAAGAAAATCGATGTATACTGGAGGCTTGTTTTATTTGGATAAACCAGGAAATGTCAAATGATAAATAAAGATTTTAAAATTAATTGTTTGGTACTCATGTTTTAACCTAGTGTCATTCCTAGTCTGAACACTTGTATATGTATATATATTACTACAATTCAGCGTATGTATCAATATTTATTTATTTATTTTGACATACGCTTTTTTAACAGCGGCACACTATTATTAGGTGCGTCAGTATTTGTAATCTACATATATATTTTATAAGCACTAAAAATGTTTACATAAAATACTACAGTTTTCTAGGGTTAAAAAGTGTTGCTAAAAACATCTTCACATATTTATCAAACATATAAAAAATGTCATGCCCCCATTCCATAAAAACCTTATCACCAAGTAGTGTAATTAACCTATCATGAATGTTCGACGACAATAAACTGCTACTTAAAATGGATCTTTTCAATACATTTCTGGGTTATTATCATTTCAACAAAAGCGAAGCCGTCGATGATGAGTGGTGGAGTATTGGAGTGTTAGTTATTCCACCATGGGGAGAATTCAGGTTGTTTCAGCAAGTCAGTCTTAATACTATGCATTTTTTCAAGACACGCTTCATAGGACACATCTATAATGCTGAGATAGCCAAGGGTGAAACCTGATTCCCCTTTCGGTTCAACTGGAGACTCCACTTCGAATCCAAATCGACTAATGTCAGAATAATCGGCAAGTTTGTCAATGTTGATAAAATCACCGACTTTCCCGGAGCCAAATGTTGACAAAAATGCGTATAAACCAAATTGGTTCGGTTTCAGTGTAGGTTGTTCAGGCGTTATTCCTCTGTTTACACTGAGGTAAGCCTCGGTCATATCTCCCTTGTTCAAAATCTCATCATAGATCTTGAACATGAATGGGAATGCCCTGCCGTTTATCTCCATCAGCTTAAAAGTTCCATCCCTGAAGACGAACAATTCGACATCAACGAACTCATTGTCAAATCCAAACTTATTGAGATTTTCAACTAGTGCGTGAAACACTTTCCATATCTCTTCTTGGGTGTACCTTGAGAGAGCTGATGGGAAGCCACATCCTTGAAAACATTGAGGGCGGTGGGGCCAGTAGATGTTGTCGCCGATAGCCCATGGGACAATCTTACCGTGTGAAACTAGACCGTCCACACCATGTATTGAGACCGGCTCCTGAATAATGTCTATGTATTGTTCAAGCATGACCAGGCCGTCCAAGGCTTGAGGATATTTTTTTAAGTCTAGAAATTGCTCAATGAGGCCCCTGAATGGACCGATTATACCATTCACATCATTTTTTATCAGCTTCATCTGATTACGTAAACTTTCGTCCTCTCGAGCCACGCCAACTAAACAGGAGGCTGTGCCCATAGCAGGTTTCACGAATACGGGGAAGCTATTGTTCGCACTAAGAGGCGTATGATTTTTTTTCGCAAAATCAAATCTCGTGACATCAGTACAATCATAGGCGACATTAACACTCGCCTTACTACCCACTAATTGGCGGGTGTAGTATTTGTTGAGGCAGACGTAAGAACCTTCAAACGATGGGCCTGTAAGATGCGGATACGTTGCCACCAGTGCTGCCTGGACGATACCACCCAAATCAGCAATACCGATTACACATCCTATAGATTCCCTATCAATGATGACACAGCAGTTTGAATATATAATACCCAAATCCAAAGGGGTTTCGACAGCATAGAAATCGAAGTAGAAATAAAATTCATCATTTTCGAAACATCCTCTTTGTTTTTTCGTTTTCACGTGCTTCTTTAATACGAGATCCAGCGCTTTATCTGGAGCAACTATCAATATATTCCGCGATCTATCTCTGATGTTAGTCATGTTTGCTACAAAAAGTATAATGTTCGATTCCTTGTATAGAATTTAGTTAGTATTTAGACAGCTAAGGCGTCTAACCTCAACAAAGGTCATCATATCTGTTTGTATACGCAAAAAATAGACCTGTCTTGGGGGTTAAACGGGTCCTAGCTCACGGTGAATAGAGGTGACGTGGTCCTGTCACGAATGTTCGTTCAAAGCGATGCAAAGCGTTAATTCTTTTTTTATTTTAAGTACATCAGTACAATTTATAAATGAAGTTTTAAGTGTTGGGATATAGTATCAAATAAAAATTGCAAGTGAAAAGTGCAAGTTGGTGCATCAGTGACCTTACACTAAACAGCATCGTATTGTGTTGTGTTTACAGCAAAGATATGACCGAAAACTGACATAAAACTGTTTCAAAGGTACACTCCCCTCCATAAGTTTGGCAACCTTTTTTCCCCATTGAACTACGTGTTAAAGCCTCTTTACGTTTGAATTTTTATTAATTTAACCGGCGATGAAATAACTTATAATATTGATGGAAACGTATCTTGACTTTATTTCCAATAGCTCCAAATTTTCTCAATTTTTTTCCTTAATTACAATAGGTCGAACATTGATGATGAATTTGATGAATTTTTGAAAATCGACATTCCCATGTTAACCAATGGGAAATGGTTTGCCGCAAATCATATGACAGAATATCCATCCATCCAAGTCCTTGCAAAAAATACGAGTTAGGCAGGCAATAGAATTTGCTAACTTTAGTTAGCAAAAAATTGATATGTTTCTTCAGGTTCAATAAAGTTATAGGGCTTTAAAGTCAAAATTGTTTTTCAAAAAACCTCTCCCATTGAAATAACACAGGAGGCGAAAAATTATTTTCAAAAATGACTTTGAAGCACTGTAACTTTAATATTCATCCAATAAACTAAACACTAAAGCCCCCCTCACATATGAACGAAAACCCCTTTACGTCAACTTGCGTATAGTGGCGAATAGGAAATTAGTCAAATTCGTTCTCATTAGTACGAGTTCGTGACAGTACGTCGCAGTGTTCGTATAGATGCGTTTGTCAGCGTTTACCTCGGTTGAAATTAGTCTTTTTCGTCGGAAAATTTTGAACATGTTGCAGCGAATAAAAGTTTCGTGTGTCATTCGTTGAAATTCGTTTCAATGCGTTAACGATCGGTTAACCTTCGCATTGGCTTCGTCAAGTGACGTTACGGGTCGCTGGGGACAAGGTCGTATCCCCATAATTTGCATATCAAGCGACTGACGGCGATCCCATTACGAACCATTACGAATTCCATTGCGGCAGTTTGCAACCTTGTACGCAGTGGAACGAATACTTACGAATTGGATCTACGTTAAGCTGAATAATTGAGAGAATACCAAATTAAATCAAATAATGAATTAAACAGAATGCCCAGACAACACAGGAGAATACTTGCTCAGTTCCGAACAGGAAGTCTCCACTTAAATATAGAGACAGGTAGATGGAACAATACACCGCTGCAAGAACGAAAATGTATTCTCTGTGATAATGATTGTATTGAGGATGAGATACACTTTTTGACTCAATGTGAACATTATAAGGACATAAGGAAAGAGTTTTATGACAATGTTAAAGTAACAGCCCCCCATATAAACATTAACTCAAATGATGGCCTGGGTACACTGATCAGTCTTATGCATGACAAAAACATCCAAAATTTATTGGCTTCAACTCTATTTAAAATGTGGCAAAAAAGGAAATTCAATATTGAGAGGGTCTGAAATGATCAAAACAACTGCTCAACAGATATTTATTCTAGTCAACTTAAAATGCTACTCTAAAAACATGCTGATATTATATTTGAACAGTGCAATAATTGTATATTATAGAATAGTATATTTATTTATTATTTAATGGACATTGTTCCAGATTGTAGAAGGACCTAAGTGTCTCATAAGCCGACACCGGCTGGTAGTGTTTTAGTTTACTTTGTATTTGACATTGTATGTATACTTTTAACACTAGTGACACTATAATAAAATATTTTAATAATAATAATAATAATAATAATTATTTTGTCATGGAAGACACAGATCGACTGAGGCTGCAGTATGTGGCTGCTATGGCCCAGCAAGAAGTTTTAACGCAGCAACTTAACATTCATGAGTTCATCAGAGGCCGTTTTAGGCGGAGAAGGGGAGCCAGAGGACGTGGCATCTGGAGGAGACAATGGTTGAATCCAGAGAGACGGCGCCAATTCGGCATATATGATCAGCTCATGGTGGAGCTGAGAAGAGAGGACCCCAGAACATTCAAAAAGTTCCTCTGTATGCCAACAGAAATGTATGACGAAATCTTTGAGAGGGTCTGTCCTCGGCTATGGAAACAACATAGCTGGTTGCGGTTGGCGGGTTGCTGAGAATACCCTCTCTGTAGTGGTAAGAGAAGTCTGTCAAGCTATATGTGACGAATATGTTGATGAGGTCATGACTGCCCCCTCCACACCTGAAGAATGGAAACAATTGGCTGATGGTTTCCTCGAGAAGTGGAATTTTCCAAATTGCGTTGCTGCAATTGATGGCAAACACATATAGCCATCAGAAAGCCTAATAGCTCTGGTTCCTTATATTATAATTATAAGGGTTTCTACAGCATCATCTTACTGGGAATTGTCGACTCAGACTACAAGTTCGTGTGGTGTGATCTGGGTGGTGAGTAAACTCTACATACGTTACTGCATTAATTTTGTTATTATATAGATTTAATACAATTATAGCTATATTTGCAATGTATACTGACAATATTTTATCCTCTTACTCTTGTATAATTTCAGGATATGGTTCAAGTGGAGATGCCAGGATCTATAATGCATCGGAATTCTTGGAGATGGTGCAGGATGGTTCGATCGCATTTCCACACCAACAGCCATTTCCCAACGACACCGTTGATATGCCTTTTTTCTTGGTAGGGGATGACGCATTCAGCCTCAGTGATCACATGCAGAAGCCCTATGGACATAGAACCCTCACTAGAGAGGAAAGAATTCTAAACTACCGGTTATCGAGGGCTAGGAGGGTTTCGGAAAACGCCTTTGGAATTTTGGCCAACCGATTCCAGGTACATTGTAATTTATAATATTTGTCGGCGAAACAAACAGTTAAACTCCAAGTTCCTGGGACTATCTAGATACGTTTATTCGACTTCGAGTAAATGAGACTTCATTCGAACTTCCGCTAATTGAGACATGAAGAAAATAGTATGTTTTGTTTGATAAATAATTTGAAAGATGCGCATAAATTGGAACCAACTGAGTTCCACATTCGACCTATAACAGTTTAACTATTAATCCGTATTTTCAAATTAATTCAATTTAACGCATAATAACATTTCAGGTACTCCTCTCAACGATGAACCATAAGGCATCCACAGCGAGGCTGATAGTCAAGACATGCTGCATTCTCCACAACTTGATGAGAATGAGGTACCCTACAATGCAAAATGCACTGATTGACCAAGAGGACAGAAGAGGCGACATGGTTCCTGGGGAATGGAGGAGAGATCGCAACTTGGAAGATGTCAGGGCTGTCAATATCAGAGGCCACAACACATCAAACAAAAAGGGGAAGATTGTGAGAAATACTCTGAAGCACTGGGTCAACTCTCCAGCAGGAAGTGTACCATGGCAAGACAGGATCGTGCCAAATTAAAGGTTGGGCTTTGAGAAATAATCTAAAGCACTGTGTCAACTTGAAATTAAGTGACGTGTCGCAAAAAGCTCGCGCACGCATTGTTACACATTTTGTGGCGTAATCCAGAGGATCCTCGCTTTTAACATGATAAATTGTGACGTTTTTGAGAAAAATGTACATACATGAAAATCCTTTCGTCCTCCACATTTACCTCTATATCTCAAAACATTTTAGACGAATAACTCTGATATCATATATATATTGTTAATGGGCTAGGAGCATCATAAAACACGAATCAATTGATATTTTAGGTGAAATAAATATACGTGTTGCTGTGCTTGAAAATAGGCGAATGGCGTAAATTAGCCCTATTTTAATGAATTTTGAAAACCTTTCGTCCTCCACTTTTCCACATACAACAGAAAACACATACTTTTGTGAACAAAATCAACTATTTATTAATAAACTAGAGTTTAGGAGCAAAATAATCATGTATAATTTATTAAAAACTGATCTCGTATTTTTTTGTTTAATGTACACCTGAAAAGTTGAAGGTACCAAAAAATGAGAAAAAAGGTCGCTGTCAACAAATCCAATTTTTAGACTCTATGACGTCACAATATGGGACGCTCACTAAAATTCATCCTTTGAAATAAAACTTCCATCTACCTTTATCAAGACGAAAAATAAGTATAATAGTCATATATTGTTTGAGTTATGAGCGTTTAAAGACGAAAAATAATTCAAAATGTAACGTGTCAACATGGGATATTTGCCAGATGTTTTGGTAAAAAACTCTTTTAAAAACGAACGCGCAAAAAATGTGAACGGAGTGTAGTTGATCTAAAATCTTCATCGAAACAGCTTTAAAATGATATATAACTTTAATTAGAATATTATTTTATAATCCGGGGAATCAAATTTACGTTCACGCGATACCCTTAAAAAACAAATGCGCCACCTTTTTGCGACACGTCAGTGTAATTTGCCTGACATAAATTGTAAAAACTAGTTTAAACGTATTTTTGTTTTACGAGTCTAATAATAAGAAATGTATTTATATAATATCAAAGGGAAAATACCAAACATGATCAGAAAACACAAGAGAAACAAAATCTCTAAGCGAATATTGTCATTAAAAACAAACCCCAACTATCCCAAATGAAATTCAAGCGTCAAAAGAAACAGTGTCCAACACCCCTCCCCTTCCATTCTAATATCAAATATTACGACCCAAAACCATAAAACATAGGGATATTTCCTTCAAACTGAAGTAATTACAATAATTGCTTGGCATGGTAACCAATTGTACGTGTTAATAACATTCCCAATGGATGATCACTGTATGAATTTCAAATCTGTGTTGACTACGACCTCTTAATTAAGGTAGACTATGTTAGAAATGT